TAAAGACACATTGATATTTACGCGAAAGCTTACGTGTTAAATTGATACCATCTGAAAATTTTGATTTAAAGCTTTCATGACTGCAGTAATTCATATTCTTAGTTTTTTCGGTAAAGTCACATTGAAGAGAAACAACAAAATAATAAAATATATATAAAACAATAAAAAATTCTCACGACGTTTCGACCATAACTCAAACGGTCGTCTTCAGATGTGTTGGTTCACATACATTTATTTTTAAACGGCGCATTTATTTATTTATAAAAAACGTTAGCGCCACGCGCAGCGATTTGGCAGTTTACCCAGGACTAGTCCATCTATTTTCTGAAAAGAGGAGGGGGGAGACGAAATTTTTTATAATGTATGCTGTCTGAAAGCCACTGTAAGCGTGAACAATCAATTAAGACCTGAAATGGTTTATCAAATCTTTCCAATGATTGCTAAGATAGAATCCATCTTCTCGGTTGAAATTGTCTCTGTGCTTGTATATGTGGATAGCCTCATGAACGAATCTCTCATGGAAGCCAGATGGCTTACAAAGAACCTCTGTCTTGGAAAAGTCAATGGCATGTGAGCCTACTGAATTAGAACAATGATCTGCCACGGCCGAGGTGTTGGTCCTACCGTGTTTAAGGTCTGCTTTGTGTTCACGAATGCGGTCCGAGACATGGCGTTTGGTTTCTCCAATGTAACTACTACCACAGAGGCAACTTAGTTTGTAGACACCAGGGTATTGTATGTCCGGAATCACATCTTTTACAGACGGAACCAGATCACGGATTTTATGTAATGTCTTGAAACGGACCTGGATCTTGTGTTTATTCAAGATTTTGGAGATCTTTTTTGTGATCCCAGCAATGTAAGGTAAAGTGATGGTTTTGAAAGGCTCCTCAAGAGGGTTCTTCTTCATGGTTTGAGTGATAGCTTTGCGGATTGTATAGTCGGAGTAACCATTAGCCCTAAGAGCTTGGTGTACGTGCTTGAGTTCACTGCTTATGTGTTCCTGGTCGGATATGCATTGGGCTCTATGATACAGAGTCTTGATGAAAGAATTCTTCTGTGATGGATGGTGGTGGGAATCTGGTTTCAGATAAGCATTCGTATGGGTAGCTTTCCTGTAGACAGAGTGGCTCATTGAACCATCAGGTCTCTTTTTAATTAGGACATCCAAAAAAGGTATCTTGCCATCTATTTCGACTTCCATGGTAAATCTGATGGCTGGGTGTATGGAAGAGGTACGTGGATGACACTTTTATCATCTGGCCACATGGCCGGCCTGCTCTAGACCAATTCTTCGACCACATCAATTCCATACACCCAGCCATCAGATTTACCATGGAAGTCGAAATAGATGGCAAGATACCTTTTTTGGATGTCCTAATTAAAAAGAGACCTGATGGTTCAATGAGCCACTCTGTCTACAGGAAAGCTACCCATACGGATGCTTATCTGAAACCGGATTCCCACCACCATCCATCACAGAAGAATTCTCTCATCAAGACTCTGTATCATAGAGCCCAATGCATATCCGACCAGGAACACATAAGCAGTGAACTCAAGCACGTACACCAAGCTCTTAGGGCTAATGGTTACTCCGACTATACAATCCGCAAAGCTATCACTCAAACCATGAAGAAGAACCCTCTTGAGGAGCCTTTCAAAACCATCACTTTACCCTACATTGCTGGGATCACAAAAAAGATCTCCAAAATCTTGAATAAACACAAGATCCAGGTCCGTTTCAACACATTACATAAAATCCGTGATCTGGTTCCGTCTGTAAAAGATGTGATTCCGGACATACAATACCCTGGTGTCTACAAACTAAGTTGCCTCTGTGGTAGTAGTTACATTGGAGAAACCAAACGCCATGTCTCGGACCGCATTCGTGAACACAAAGCAGACCTTAAACACGGTAGGACCAACACCTCAGCCGTGGCAGATCATTGTTCTAATTCAGTAGGCTCACATGCCATTGACTTTTCCAAGACAGAGGTTCTTTGTAAGCCATCTGGCTTCCATGAGAGATTCGTTCATGAGGCTATCCACATATACAAGCACAGAGACAATTTCAACCGAGAAGATGGATTCTATCTTAGCAATCATTGGAAAGATTTGATAAACCATTTCAGGTCTTAATTGATTGTTCACGCTTACAGTGGCTTTCAGACAGCATACATTATAAAAAATTTCGTCTCCCCCCTCCTCTTTTCAGAATATAGATGGACTAGTCCTGGGTAAACTGCCAAATCGCTGCGCGTGGCGCTAACGTTTTTTTATAAATAAATAAATGCGCCGTTTAAAAATAAATTTATGCGAACCAACACACCTGAAGACGACCGTTTGAGTAATGGTCGAAACGTCGTGAGAATTTTTTATTGTTTTATATATATTTTATTATTTTGTTGTTTCTCTTCAACGTGACTTTACCGAAAAAACTAATAATATGATACCATCTGGTGGACATCATTCTGAGCTACAAGTTATACAATACATTGCTACGCGATGCACTGTGCAAGTGTCTATAACCCTTACATCTGCATCACCCTCGCTCCTACCCCGAATCCTTGTGTAACCCTAGCTCCTAACCGTAACCAATATGCAGTACAAGTGACACACGGTTGCGTGATATCTACTGGACGTAGAAATAATTTCAAGGTATACAATGCATGGCTGTGTGATGCACTGTGCGTGCATGTAACACGATATAGTCATCATGACCCGGACACCGTAAGTATGTCGCTAAACCAACCCTAACCCTCATCAGAGTCTAACTAAGCCGAGGTACTACGGTTTGGAAAATTCAGTATTTTTCTTCTTCACAATTTATAGTTACCGAAACCATACATGTAAACCCATACCGTGTACCCGCATTCCTGTACAGGGAAATTGAGTTTTCAGGTCCATACGGCATACCGCCGTTTCAATATGGGCAAAATTAGGATAGGACTTTGTAGGATGAACGTTGAGATTTATAAGGGCATGGGGTGACCAATACAGTCTGAACTGGTCTGTAATAAGGTCGGCACTGATAAGGGGTTGACAGGTATGCGAAACAGTTAATTTGTGTGGTCACTGGTTCAGAAACCTTTCCTAAAAACAGTGCTCCCTTGATTGGTCGTCGGCCTGTCTCCGTTACTCCGTGACCACCACGAACCTCTCTTTCGACAGGAGAGGAAGAGTTTGCGACAACGGTCCCCACGGCTAGATGTGAACGTTTCGTGCCTCCATTGTGGGCTGCACTGCCCCCCACTACCCGCGTAGAGGGCTGCACTGCCTTCTCATACCCACGCAGAGGGCTGCACTGCCTTCTCATACCCACGCAGAGGGCTGCACTGCCTTCTCATACCCACGTAGAGGGCTGCACTGCCTCCCGCTACCCACGCAGAGGGCTGCACTGCCCCCCACTAACCGCGTAGAGGGCTGCACTGCCTTCTCATACCCACGCAGAGGGCTGCACTGCCCCCCACTACCTACGCAGAGGGCTGCACTGCCTTCTCATACCCACGTAGAGGGCTGCACTGCCTTCTCATACCCACGCAGAGGGCTGCACTGCCCCCCACTACCCGCGTAGAGGGCTGCACTGCCTTCTCATACCCACGCAGAGGGCTGCACTGCCCCCCACTACCTACGCAGAGGGCTGCACTGCCTTCTCATACCCACGCAGAGGGCTGCACTGCCCCCCACTACCTACGCAGAGGGCTGCACTGCCTTCTCATACCCACGCAGAGGGCTGCACTGCCCCCCACTACCGAAGCAGAGGGCTGCACTGCCTTCTCATACCCACGCAGAGGGCTGCACTGCCCCCCACTACCTACGCAGAGGGCTGCACTGCCTTCTCATACCCACGCAGAGGGCTGCACTGCCTTCTCATACCCACGCAGAGGGCTGCACTGCCTTCTCATACCCACGCAGAGGGCTGCACTGCCCCCCACTACCCGTGCAGAGGGCTGCACTGCCCTCGCATATCCACGCAGAGGAATGCACTGCCCCCCACTACCTACGCAGAGGGCTGCACTGCCTTCTCATACCCACGCAGAGGGCTGCACTGCCCCCCACTACCTACGCAGAGGGCTGCACTGCCTTCTCATACCCACGCAGAGGGCTGCATTGCCCCCCACTACCTACGCAGAGGGCTGCACTGCCTTCTCATACCCACGCAGAGGGCTGCACTGCCTTCTCATACCCACGCAGAGGGCTGCACTGCCCCTCACTACCCGCGCAGAGGGCTGCACTGCCCCCCACTACCCGCGCAGAGGGCTGCACTGCCCTCGCATACCCACGCAGAGGAATGCCCACCACGGGGTTCGCTCGTCACTTTGGAAACCGCGCGGACTCCACTGCGGTTCGTTCTGATTGGCAGCGCGGTCATTGGCGGCTTGGGGCTATGGCTGATTGTACTCGCTACGTGTGTGTTGTATGGATGTTGTGTATGTGGACTTATATGTACGTTGGACTTTTTTCGCACCGTACGTAGCCAACCGCGCTAATCAGAGACGTGGGGGAAAGGACAACACTAAACACGAAGCAGTTTTAAAGGAGTGAGTTTTACACTGGAAACCACGGTGCCAGCTCAGCTGTGCCACGGCCATCATTACGAGGCGCCAGTAAACCCCGCACCCCACCCTCGCCACGCGCCGTTCCTATGCCGAGGCCGAGGACTGCCACCGCGAGGCGCCAACCACCCCCCCGTCGACAGCAGAGCCGATCCGGGTCTCTGTCGATTACCGCCGCGGAGCGATTTCGAGGGATTGCGATTCCAATTTAGAAAAATATCGATTCGTCTGCGGTCTCCTCAGCGCTGCTTGCCTCGGGCGTGCCAAGGGGCTAAATTCCACCCCCTTCCCCACCACCACCGCCACTGAGCCTCAACGAAACGACCGCGGCGCCGTTGCAGCCCTGCGGCAGCATCCTCGCCAAATGATCGCGTACCTTAAACTCACGGTGCGATTCGATTCCCTCTTCATCCCGCAGCACCAACGTACAGAATGGAATCGACAATCGCGATTCTTTCGTCGCTCGGGCCTGGACCGTCGCGCGGCGCTCGCGTCTCCCGCCACCGCCGCCGCCGCGAGGTTCGACTCCCGCTCCCGCTGAGGAGTCCCCGCAGAGGAGTCCACGAGGCCCCGGCGTCCCGCGCGTTCGGTCTTCAAGTGGCAGAACGCGTGACCCCCCCCCCCCGCGCGGCCTGGGAGCGGTGCCAAACAGCCAACCACACCATCACCACGTAAACTCACCGTCGCTCACCCATCGCGACATCGCCGTGACTGCATACATCGCTCACCGTCACTCCATCACTCACCATTACTGCATCACACCACCTGCGCTACATCGCTCACAATCACTAACATCACGATAAGCTATAACTATTTTATTACATCAATAACCGTTACTCGCCATCCACTACATCACTCGCCATAACTACATCACCATCACTTGCCATCACCACACGCCATAACATCACCTTCACTCACCGTTACTATATCACTAACCATCAATACATCACCACTATATCACCATCGCTACATCACTCACCATCACTATATCACTAACCATCAATACATCATCACTATGTCACCATCGCAATATTACACCGCTGCGTCGTGAGATAATCATATCAGCAATCGTCATTACATCACTAATTTTACTACATCACTGACTTCACTGCATCACTTAACATCACTGTCTGACCCATTTCATATCAATCACCGTCACTGCGCCCGGGTATATCTTGCACATTGATATTTAATTGCCGTAATAAAGCGATGTTCAATCCGTCCTGTCTATGGACCTGGATTTGTTTCTCAGGAGCATTTAAACTCAAACCTTCATATATTTTACTGCACTGTTTCTCGTCAGCCCTCTAGTGATCGTTAAGCCAATGCTTCCCCCAATACATTGCGCGCACATTTTACTGCTTATGAATTTGTAAGACTCGGCGGCTGATGGACGTTATAGCACACTCCCACTGGTAATTATTTTAAGTCAATATATTAATTTGGTTGCCTCTGCACGAGACTTGTCAGTAGTCGTTACAGCTTCAATTACATCTTGGGGCGGCATTGATGAATAGTCAAGGTGATGAGTGATGTAGCAAGAAGTGACTGCGTTTGATTCCTGAATCGGGCGCCTTTCTGTGCGAAGATTTGTCTGTTCTCTACTTCGTCTGCATTGGATTTCTCCGGGTTCCCCCAGGTTTCCGCCATAAAAACAAACCTCAACGTCAGTTAAAATTCGGAAAATGAATAAAAGAATGCCCACAAATTATCCTGCAGTATTTGCATAACAATCATCGCCCCCTCGTGGCAGACTAATGCCTTATTAGGTTGTTGAGTCACCTTAGGCCGCGCATGGACGGCTGCCAATTGGGGGCACGGATCTGTGCTTGGAGACGATTCGTTACACGCAATATAATCGCACGCTCGTGCATTGAATCGCATTTGCACAAGATTTTCGACTGTGAGAGAGACAGAATATTCTCCATGACCCGGCTACGTGCACCACTTATAAAATATGAGTTAGGTTGCAGTATGTTTACGTTTACTGCCTTGTTCGGTTTGGTCCAGTTCATGATACTGAAGAAATGCACTTGACATTGTATAACTTGTACTTGTGTGTGTTGTAAAGTTTGAATTTGCCCCTCTGATGAAGTGCACCCTTTGCAAACGAGACATTCCATCTCGATGGTTTATCCAGGTGAAATGTTTACGTTTTCGTTCGTGGCGATGAAGTCAATGGTCGTTCTCCCATGGGGGCCCCTGGGCAGTGCAGGGAGTCTCCTTGCACGAGCGACGAAGATGCCAAGGCCCCAGGCTCAGCGCGGCGCGGTGCAGGGCGAGGAGAAGCCCTACGTGTGCACAGTGTGCAACATGAGCTTCACGCAGATCGGAAACCTCAAGGACCACCAGCGCATGCACACGGGCGAGCGGCCGCACGTGTGCATGGAGTGCGGCAAGGATTTCCTGCACTTGTCCTCGCTGCGGGCCCATCACCGCACGCACACAGGCGAGCGGCTGCATGTGTGCAACGAGTGCGGCAAGGGCTTCTCGGACACGTCCAACCTGAAGAAGCACGTGCGCACGCACACGGGCGAGCGGCCCTACAAGTGCGATGAGTGTGGAAGGGGCTTCTCGCAGGCGTCCACACTCAAGGTTCACCAGAGGTCCCACCGCGGTGAGTGACTTACTGCTCATGGTTTTTTCTGGTGATGATGATGCATTGGTATCATCGTCATCAGCAGCAGCAAAATAACTGTAATATGGAATGTGGCTGTTGAGGGCCTTAACAGAATAGGAATTAGCACACCGTGAAGGCTTGTAAAGGAAGAGGACACCTGTCCTTAAAAATCCCACTAATAGAAAATGTTTTGCGGTGGAGACTTTGCATGCTACATATTATTTTTGTTGATTATTTTTGTCCCGGTCATCATATATGTGATTTGAAGCTTTCGCGACTGCAGGAATTACTCTTTGGTTCTTTCGGTAAAGTCACGTAGAAATAAATAATGGAGTACGACGTTCGATTGCAACGCAAGCAACCGTCATCTCAAATTTTGTTCTACCTGATCACGTTTGCTTATGTTGCATTTGAAACGTCGTACTCTATTATTTAATTTATTTTATTTCTACGTGACTTTACCAAAATAACCAAAGAGTAATTCCTGCAGCCACGAAAGCTTCAAATCAAGTTTGAACCACCTCTACGGGGAGGATATAAGCTGTTTTCTCTCTCTGTGTTTCTGTTTGTCAAATTTCATACTTAACTTCAAATTTAGCCATTTTTGGAGATCGTAATCAACCAGGCTATGCGTTAACTGTGTGTTAGCCGACTATCTGTATTGCATTGAATTACATTTCCAAAAAAAATTCTAAGTTAGTTTTCTCAAATGGCCTATTTCTCTCTCTAAAATTTACCAGGCTGTCATAGGTCCATTCGCTCTTTCTCTCCCTCGGCCGGTTCGGGGTGGATTTCCACACATCTCTCTGTGTGTCTCTGTCAAATTTCACACTTAACTTTTAACTTGAGCAATCTTTGGAGATCGTAATTAACCAGGCTATGCGTTAACTGTGTGTTAGCCGACTCTCTGTGTTGCATTACATTACATTTCTAAAAGATTTGCAAAATTTTGTTTTCTCAAACTATTTCTCTCTCTATAATTTACCAGGCTCTCATAGGGCCATTCGATCTTCTTTCCATCGGTCGCTTCGGGGTGGATTAATTGACATGCTAATTTCTCTGCTGCAGCAGCTGCCCCAGCAGACCCACCTCTCTCTCTGCCAAACCCCTCCCCTCTCTCTATTTAAGGCCTCGACACAGAGGCATTGGGTCTCTCTGTGTCTATGGTGTGTGTTTCTCTGTTTGTCTGTGTTGTCTCTCTCTGCTTGTGTGTCTGTCTGTGTCTCTGTGTCTGTGTTTTGTCTCTCTCTCAAATTTAGTTCTACCTGATGACGGTTAACTAATTTTACATGACCACTCTGACCATAGCACTGCTCAGTGGCTAATTCCATTGTTCATGAACATCGTCCATTCATCCATCTGGGTTGTGTGTATGTATGTATGTTGAACTTCTTTTGCAGGGTACGTAGCCAACAGTGCTAATCAGAGATGCAGGGAAGGACAACAAACTAATACATAAAAAGCAGTTCCTAAGAAATACATTTTCAATCTAGATTTAAAAGTGCATAGCTCCTGTGGTTTCCTAATATCGGAAGGAAGAGCATTCCAGACAGCCGCAGAAGCGCATCTGAAAGTGTGCGATGCGGTGACTGTCTTGGTTTGATGGATAGCCAAAAGCCGCTGCGAGGATGACCAGAGTTTGCGTGATGGTTTATGCTCCTTGACGAGATCAGCAAGGCATTGTGGTTCATTTGTTGCAAGCACTCTGTTTGTAATGAGTGGCACCTTATAATGTATTTGGTTGGCAACCAAAAACCAATGCAGCTCGGTGAGTCCTGGACGGACACGGTTGGATCTTGCAGTACCCATCACGACATGTACCAGCATTTTTTTTACACTCTGCAGTTTGCTTATCTTTTTTCCAGAAGTTTTGTAAAGTAGTGATTTGCAATAATTATTGAGCCTTGTCGATATTATGCTACACATCACCGTGTTGGCTATGTCACGACTAAACAGTGGTCGAATGTGTCGTAGAGCCCTGATATGAAAGGACTTGACTACATTTTGCACGTGGTCAAACGACAAATTCTGGTCGAGTATGGTGCCAAGGCTCTTAAGATGAGTAGAAAACTTTAATCCTGGAGTTCGCGACTGCCACACCTGATCCTCCCACAATTTTTTTCACCTGCGCCTGGGTGCCAACCAGCAGAATCTCAGATTTTTCTGGATTAAGCAGCATTTTGTTTCACACGTGCACCGCTAGTGTGAAATCTTCGAGGTTGCCAATGCTCTCAATATCTAACTTTTACTTCACTGCAGTGTACAATTCTGCATCATCAGCATATTGATGGAACTTGATGTCATGCGATGAGATAAGATCGGTTAGATATATGTTTAAAATAGGAAGGGCCCGAGGACGCACCCCTATGTAGGCCTCGGCAAGGTAAGGTAATTTACCCTTTTTACAGGGGTAAAGGGTAAAGGTGTCGACCATGCCAAGGGGTAGGGTAAAGTTAGCGCAGAAGAATTACCTAGTAGAGTAAAGGTAGCGTGAAGTATTACCCGGTAAATACCCTGTTTACCGCTCGCAAAAGCTCTGTGGCGCAGTCCGTGGCCTCCATTTTAAATTGGAATCATTGATGTCGGACCAGATGGAGACGGACCACATTCTTGAGGTAGAGGATGTGGTCGCTGCGAACAGCAATCGAATGAGGCAGCGGCATGTGTTCCCATGGGAGCACACGCACGATTGGATGGAGGGTGATTCCCATGTGCAGCAAGTGGTTTTCCTCCCACACGAACGCGTCGGGGTGGAAAGCCCACCTCAAGAAGCACAACATGCTCGCCCCAGGCAGCGAAGTCGGGACGTCGGCGTCGGCGAGCCGCCTAATGCAGCAAACGCTGAGCCGGCCAGCAATCCTGGAGAACGCGGTGGTTGATTTTGTTATCCAAGGTGCAATCTCTTTGCGAGCCGCCGTTAGCAACAAGTTCAAGACCTTGGTCCACACATTGACGCAGGGATACGAGGGCCCGTCAACTCGCACCATCATTCGCAGGATTGTCGGGCATCACGCCATCATGCTGCCCATCGTCAGGGCGTTCTTCTGCAACCTGGACGTCGCCATCTCGCTCACCATCAACGGGTGGTCGAACCGCAATATGAAGGGATTTTTTTGGATGGTCACGGTGCATTGGATCGACACCAAATCTGGTGCGTTGAAGTCCATGCTGCTGATGATACTCATGTGCAGTCCGAAAGGGGTTTCGGCAAGCGCATTGGCACCACTCTGTTTGAGCACCTCCAAAGCCTCGGGCACAATGTCTCAACTGGCTGCTCGCTGTCACAAGCGACAATGGCTCCGATGTGATCAGTGCTGTCAAGGCACTGTTCGCCATGGTCAGCGAGGACACCGGATATGAGTAGTTGGGGGCTTGCTACCCTATTCGCTGCGTGGATCATTCGGTCCAGATCGGCGTCGTCTAAGTTCGCAAACTGATCAAGTCGACCAACGCCGAACTGCGCAAGGTGCTCGTCAATATCATGCGCAGCAAGATCGCCCGGCAGTCGTACCGTCGCAAGGCCGGGATTGCCAAGCTCGCCAGCATGGAGCCGACGCACCAGGACTCGCCGACCAGGTGGAATTCGACGTTTGACGTGGGCGACGACGCCATGAAAAAGCGTATTCCATTGGACATTATCATGGTGCGCTTCCAGGATCTGATCGGCATCGGTGCTTTCTCTGAACTGCAGTGGGCAAACATCGAGGGTGTGACAGCATTCCTGTGAATGCCGCGCCAGGTCATGACCTCGTTGGCGGAGGACTGCAAGTCGACATTGGATCTCGTGCCGGTGACGATGGAGCACCTGATCCGTAATTGTGATCGCGGTGAACCCGCTCTTAGAGCGATCGATGAGTCCTTGACCGCGACGGGGATGAAGGCCGAGCTGGTGCGGTAACGCGACTTCCTAGTTCAGGAACCCGCCATTGTGGCATCCTACTTGAATCCACAGCTGCCGAAAACGACAGACCAAGACGAGCTGACTACACTGAAGGCCACGGTCCGCTCTGTCCTGCAGCATTGCTACTCGGACATGCTCGCGATCCCGACGACGACAGTTGCTGCCCATATGGAGGAGGACTCGCTGTTCAGCACCCTATTCAGCAACGTGGGCAGCTCCATCGATGACGGCGATGAAGTCGATCGATTTCTGAGCATGGGCGTCACGACCGCCAGCGCCTTCATTCATGTAATGCAGTGGTGATCTCCCCGTCTGCGAACGCGCGAATAGCGGATCCGGGTGGGAGTTCACATGCGTCCGTCAGTCGCTGTCGTTGACGCTCTTCATCCAGTCCATGTGCTTGCGCTCTTGGATCGCGGCCGGCTGCCTGAAGGTCCCATCTAAATGGGCCGAAGCGGCGCAGGATCTTATCGCCTCTCGACGGCAATGACGAACTTGATCAGGTTGTTGATGAGATCGTCATCGACCAAGACGACTGGGACGAGGTTATGGGGGACGGTGTCGTCGACAGCCTCAACGCCCGATTCGAGAGTATTCTATATGAATAAAGCGGTCTACCTAGCATTTACCTGTTATAAACCTTTTTCATGTGTATTACTCCAGTAATTACCCTGTAATTACCCTGTAATTGGGTAATTTGTATGGGTTAAGGGTAAAAGATAGGGTAAAGGTAGGCTCGTTGCTTTTTAACTTTTACCTTACCTTGCTAAAGGGTAAAAGGTAAGGGTAGAGTGATTGTATTGTGGTAAGGTAAACGGTAGGGTAAAGGTAGGCTCGTTAGTTTTACCTTTTACCTTACCTTGCCGCGGTCTACCCTGTGGTACGCCGACTTGGTACGGCATAGGCGATTACTGTTCGTTGCTCACCTTGACGAACTGTGATCGACCATGTAGGTATGACTCAATCTAGCCAAGTTCCATACCTGATACACCAAACCTTGACCTTCGCCGGCCGATATGTGTCTCATGGTCACTGGTGTCGAAGGCGGCTGAGAGATTGAGGCCAACCAACGCTGTGGCACACCGGTCATCTATGGTCTTGTCGAGATCATCAGTGATCTTTGTGGAACTTCCGGTATACCGACTGCAACGGGTTGAATCTGCTCATCGCAGTGACGTGGGGAAGTAACTGCTTAAGACACCGGTGCGGTATGACCTTTGAAATCGTACTCAGATTTGAGGTTGGGTGATAGTTTGTGGGGTCACTATGGCTCAAGCCAACTTTTTTCAGGAGTAGTGTTACTTGCGCCATTTTGAACCAGTCTGAGAAACAGCCCTCGCTAAACAAAAGATTTGGCAGGTGGACAATCAGCGGTCCAAGAACGTCCGAGCATGATTTGAGAATCAACATGTGGATGTAGTCAAACGCGATGTCATATTTTGGCAGCCGTGCTATGAACATCGACACTTCTGCCACCGATGTTGGTGCCAGGGTCTCGAGTTTTGCATTGGTTGCAGGTTGATGAAACTCAGATGGCAGACTGGGAGAATGCGTTGCAATGAGTCACTCTTTGGTTCTTTCGGAAAAAGTCACATAGAAAATAAAATTTTAAAATAAAATCTAATAATAATAGAATACGACGTTTCAATTGCCATACAAGCAACCGTCATCAGGTAAGAATGAATGAGAAAAACATAGTAAACTTAGAAACACAATGCAACACAACACATAGAGCAGGACAACACAACAGCCAACACCCCACCTGGCTGACCACAATCCTCCAAAGAATGACAAAAAGAAAGACAGCGCCACTGTGTCGAGGCTTTAAATAGAGAGAGGGTGGGAGGGGTTGGGGCAGAGGACAGTGAGAGAGTTGTGTGGAATTCTGGACCACAGTGGCCGGAGGCAGACCACGCTTCTCATTCATTCTTACCTGATGACGGTTGCTTGTGTTGCAATCAAAACGTCGTATTATATTATTATTTGATTTTCTTTTCTACGTGATTTTACCGAAAGAACCAAAGAGTAATTCCTGCAGTCACGAAAGCTTCGAATCTAGTTTGCAATGAGTCAGTTGGCAGATCTGCAGGCTGCTCTGTAAGCGAGTCGGACAGTGTCAAAACAAGTTTTCTTCCAAAGATCCTCTGGCCTCCTTTGCGTCTGCTCCGCAGCGATCGCCTCCAGTGACAATCAGTGACTGCACGCTTTCCCCATTCTCTTTGTGCTTGTTCACATGGGCACGAGTACATCAAGAACAGCAGTCATGTCATTTTCTAATTAAGCTGCAAATGAATTGGCCGTCGATGCAGGATTTAGATGACCGGATCTTCTGACGGAAAGGGTCTTGGTCCAGTCGTTTCCAGTCTCGGATATCGTGATGGGTGGGCGAATAGTCGGTAATACCACTTTGCACCTCACAAGACTTTGATCTGAAATACCCACGTTTTCGATAACAACATTGGTCACAGTTACGACATCAGTGGATGTGATCCAGTATGTTTCCCAAGCGACATGTTGCACTGCTGTGACCATCGATAATCTTGGAGAGATCACTGTCCGGGACAGTTCAGGTCACCGCAGATGATGTAGCGAGAGCCAAGTGACCCACCATCTAGCAGACCGCAAAGCTCGGAAAGGAATTCCAACAGCGGTGAAGATGGCGGTCGATAGATGACAGCGATTGTAAGCCTCCGCATGCTGTTTGGTATTTTCACGAGTCTCTCAGGACTTTCACGCTGTGAATCGGTGCGCCAGGCTTCCCGCGACGGAGCTGATGTACAATCGCCTATCCGTTAGGTGTAGCCTCACGCTTAATTACGTCCGGTGAGTTCTCATATACCTAGGTTTCGGTAATGGCCAATATGTCGAGTCCACAATCGTTGATCAGATCTTGGATCAGCACCATCTTGTTTTACTATGGAGCGTGCGTTCAATCCCTGGTCCAGGCTTTGACTCGATATCCGACAGCAGCAGTATGGCGACGAAGGCACTCTTCTGTGATCGTGTGGATGTAGGGCGAAAGATGAACTGACCAGATCTGCAGCACAACTATTTGCGAGGCATCGCAACAAGTGACTAACACAGTCGGGTAGGGGGTCGCCATTTCCACAGAAGATCATAGCATAGTGGGTGCGGAACTCGAGTAGTTTGAACTGGAAAGTTGACCGATCAACACTTCCTTCTGCACGGTGGATGCTGGGCCGAGTCTGCTGGTGAGTCCCACCGCAGTATCGGTGACGTTTTGATGAGAAAGAATTGATTTGTCGATCTAGGCCAATAGATGTTCCGGTGTATAGAGCGCTATTTACAATATTTTAAACCGTCGTGTGAGCCTGAGAAACTTGGTTTAAAAAATATACTTGACAATATCTTGAGTGGTAGCTGTGGAAGTGGGCCCCCCTCCTTTCTCCCGACTCACCTTTACTGAAATAGCTATGGATGTTTCTAACCCGTATACAATATGTAGGCTATAACTAGTTTAACACGTGGGGTTTCGCGACCAATATCCATAACAGAGGATTTTGGGTTAGATCGCGTAAATATATAAATGTGTCGTTAAAACCCGCCATGACCCGACACAGCCCCCTCATTGTGCAAGCGCGCAGAAGCGTGGTCAACACATCTATGCCTCTATTTAAGGAACGAAACAGTTAGACTTCTCCACAAATCTGACTGTCGCCTGATGAAGCTAGTTGTAATTACTGGCGAAACGTCGTACTCAGATTGTAAATGTTGTGGCTTGGCTCTTCAACACACCGGTGTGCTGCACGAGTGACGAATTGGCATGTTCTTTTTACGTGACAACCCTTACTAGTTGGCTGTGTCGGGTTGTGGCGGGTTTTAACGAAACATTTACGTGATCTAACCCAAAAACCTCTCTTGATTTGAAGCTTTTGTGACTAGGTATTAATACTCTTTGGTTCTTTCGACAAAGTCACGTAGGTAGAAGAAATAATAGATCACGACGTTTCGATCGCAACGCAAGCAATCGCCTGATGACGATTGCTTGCGTTGCGATTGAAACGTCGTGATCTATTATTTCTTCTACCTACGTGACTTTACCGAAAGAATCAAAGAGTACCAAAAACCTCTGTTATGGCTATAACTAAATATTACATTTTAATCGTGTATTGGGTTTAGAGGAAGACAGTCTCACGGTGACAGTATTAATAAGAGGATTTTAAGGTAACAATACTCACAATTAAGTTATCATCCGTTTTGCTTTCATGTGCATCTCTGCAAAAAATCCTGGTGGTGTTCAGTAGCAAAACACCAGCAGCAGCACTACTATATTTGACGCTGTGGATTTTCGGAAATATTTTTCAATTGTAAAAATGCTTTTTTCTTAACATTTTTTTCCTTGTTTATCATCTGTTGATTCGGGGCCCCCTTGTGGCCGACTGGGCCCCTATGCCCCTATGCATCACATGACACTGCATACCCCCCCATAGTTGTGTCCCTGGCAGCGGGCATGTGTGATCTGAGCACTGCTGTAAATCCCCTTGCCAGTTTCTCCCATCTCTGTGTTTGTCTCATTTTCCTTGTTCCATGACTCACTCTGTCGGTCCCTTCTTGTGGCCATCTCCATATTCCTCAATCTGTTACTTTGTCACCAATTCTCTCTGCGTCTCTGTGTCCACGTTTTTGTTCACCTATTTCTCATTTTCTATGACTCGACATTAATTTTAACGTTTCTCTGTCTTTCTTCTTATCTCTCTCGATGTCCCTTTCCAAATCTCGTTTTTTTTCAATTGCACTTTCCGTCTTTCTCTCTACATGTCTCTTCAAATCCACGACTGTCCAGTGGATGTTACAGGTCACCCGAGTAAATGAACATAATAGTAAAAACTATTTATAAAAAGCGCTTATATTTTTATTGTGCAGAGGCTATCGAGAAGGCGTCCGCCGTCGACACCAAAACCCCCAAGAGGCGGCAGAGGGGCAAGGGCCAACAGCCGCACATGTGCACGGCGTGCGGGAAAGTCTTCAAGCACCTGTCGTCCCTCAAGGTCCACCGGACCATCCACACGGGCGAGCGGCTGCACGTGTGCGACGAGTGCGGCAAGGGCTTCTCAGACACGTCCAACCTGAAGAAACACGTGCGCACGCACACGGGCGAGCGGCCCTACAAGTGTGGCGTGTGCGCCAAGGGCTTCTCGCAAGCATCCACCATGAGGATTCATCAAAAGATGCATTCCCTGGAGACGCCGGGTTCGTGTTTATCCCTCTACCCTCGATGCACTGCACAGTGTAGGCGAGTGTTACTCATCTCGTTTACACGTAATGTTTGCTAGGACAGGGGTCTATAAAGAAAATAACAAGAATAGCCATTCTTTTTCGAATTCGGTAAAGAACTCAATATTTCAAGAGCCACAACGCATGTGAATAACGCCACGAAGCAGTCCTTAAAGAGCCGCATGCGGCTCCGGAGCCACAGACTGCCGATCCCTGTACTAGGGGTTCCTCGAATAGCACTTAAATGGGAACTCTTATCCATGGCCCTATTACCCGAGACTCCTATTAACTGCGACAGCTGTATGATTCTTGGAAACACCCGTTATCCATGGTCATGTTTCTTTATATTATCCCTGGTTAGCCTCAATATCGTAAAACAACAATGCAGTGTGAACAAAGGAACTGCATGAGAGCCATTTGATTTTATCACGAAAACATCTACACACACACACAGACCCTTACAAAGACAGACATACACAAACACGGATACAGACAAGCAGACAGATGGAGACACAAAAAGGAGGCGACATACACACGGGGACACAGACACACCACATCGTACACCATATCAACACCTGTCACAAAAAGAACCGTCATTCGCCACTAAATAGTGGTAATATTACCACGGCACTTCTGCCAAGCTAGCTGCACTTTGAGGCCATGTGCAGTGGCAAAGGCTCGCTGGCAGGAGGTAACAGGACAAACCCAGGTGCCATGGGTTGCCATACCCGAATAGCCCCCTCTATCCGGCCAAACAAAAACTGTTTGTGCATGCTGTGGCTGGACATGCGGCCTAAATATCCCAGGCAATGCACCATTGCCTGCTGGAGAAGCTCACTGATGGGATTGTGTCCAGAGCTTTCAAAGATTTGTGAGCTCACACAATCCAGTCTGGTTAAACTCAGGATGGATTGTAGGCACAGATGTTCAATTAGAGGGTCCCACATTTCGCAAGCATAGAGAAGGGAGGACATGACTGGCCAAGAAGACCGGAAGTTTCATGCGGATTGACAGACCAGGTAGCTTCCACAGTGTCACGCATCTAATGAAAAAATAATACCACCCGACTGATTCGGAATGAGACCTCTGCTGTCAAATCGGAGCTGATTAACAGCATATTGCCCAGTTACAGAAACCTCTCTACTCTCTCCACAACTGCCCCATAAGTAACAGGGAGTTGAGGGGGTGGTGTGTTTGATGACACAAATTACCCAGTCAGGTACTTAGTTTTGGTGGGGCTGATGGTAAGGTCCCACCTCTTAGTAGCATGATCCAGGTTCAACAGCAGTGTATCTAACTTCATTGAGTGCGCAGCAATCACCAGATCATGAACATATATAACATGGTTAACCAATAGGGAGCTATCCCTCGACCGCACCCAGGCATCAATCAGCCTCCCATTGTATCTGTACAATGGGAAGTACAGCCATGGAAAGCTTTTCGAACTACGTGGTCGAAAGAGATGTTAAATAGTGTAGGAGCCAGAGGACATCCCTGTCGCATCCCAAGGTGACTCCTGGCCATGCAGTATTTACCTGGGCCTGCCCACCATCATGAAAGTCCTTACGATTGTGAGCAGAGTCAGGGACTCCGAAAGCACGAAGAACCCAGAGCTCTGGCCTATTGATGGTATCATAGGCCTTGACCACGTCAATATAGCACAGATGTACAGTGAGGGAAAAAAGTATTTGATCCCCTGCTGATTTTGTACGTTTGCCCACTGACAAAGAAATGATCAGTCTATAATTTTAATGGTAGGTTTATTTGAACAGTGAGAAACAGAATAACAAGAAAATCCGGAAAAACGCATGTCAAAAATGTTATAAATTGATTTGCATTTTAATGAGGGAAATAAGTATTTGACCCCCTCTCAATCAGAAAGATTTCTGGCTCCCATGTGTCTTTTATACAGGTAATGAGCTGAGATTAGGAGCACACTCTTAAAGGGAGTGCTCCTAATCTCAGCTTGTTACCTGTATAAGAAACACCTGTCCACAGAAGCAATCAATCAATCAGATTCCAAACTCTCCACCATGGCCAAGACCAGAGAGCTCTCCAAGGATGTCAGGGACAAGATTGTAAACCTACACAAGGCTGGAATGGGCTCCAAGACCATTGCCAAGCAGCTTGGTGAGAAGGTGACAACAGTTGGTGCGATTATTCGCAAATGGAAGAAACACAAAATAACTGTTAATCTCCCTCAGCCTGGGGCTCCATGCATTATCTCACCTCGTGGAGTTGCAATGATCATGAGAACGGTGAGGAATCAGCCCAGAACTACACGGGAGGATCTTGTCAATGATCTCATGGCAGCTGGGACCATAGTCACCAATAAAACAATTGGTAACACACTATACCGTGAAGGACTGATATCCTGCAGCGCCCGCAAGGTCCCCCTGCTCAAGAAAGCACATATACATGCCCGTCTGAAGTTTGTCAATGAACATCTGAATGATTCAGAGGACAACTGGGTGAAAGCGTTGTGGTCAGATGAGACCCAAATGGAGCTCTTTGGAATCAACTCAACTCGCCGTGTTTGGAGGAGGAATGCTGCCTATGACCCCAAGAACACCATCCCCACCGTCAAACATGGAGGTGGAAACATGCTTTGGGGGTGTTTTTCTGCTAAGGGGACAGGACAACTTCACCGCATCAAAGGGACGATGGACGGGGCCATGTACCGTCAAACCTTGGGTGAGAACTTCCTTCCCTCAGCCAGGGCATTGAAAATGGGTCGTGGATGGGTATTCCAGCATGACAATGACCCAAAACACACGGCCAAGGCAACAAAGGAGTGGCTCAAGAAGAAGCCAGTCTCCAGACCTTAATCCCATAGAAAATCTGTGGAGGGAGCTGAAGGTTCGAGTTGCCAAATGTCAGCCTCGAAACCTTAATGACTTGGAGAAGATCTGCGAAGAGGAGTGGGACAAAATCCCTCCTGAGATGTGTGCAAACCTGGTGGCCAACTAAAAGAAACGTCTGACCTCTGTGATTGCCAACAAGGGTTTTGCCACCAAGTACTAAGTCATGTTTTGCAGAGGGGTCAAATACTTATTTCCCTGATTAAAATGCAAATTAATTTATAACATTTTTGATATGCGTTTTTCTGGATTTTGTTGTTATTCTGTCTCATTGTTCAAATAAACCTACCATTAAAATTATAGACTGATCATTTCTTTGTCAGTGGGCAAACGTACAAAATCAGCAGGGGATCAAATACTTTTTTCCCTCACTGTAGGTCCTGTTGGAATTCCCTGCAGCTCTGCCGTAGCAGACGGACAGAGAATATGGCCTTCCTGGCCTGAAACAACATTGGGGCTCTGCAAGCCTCTCCTCAGCATGCTGCCTGGCAAGGCGATGCTGAATTATCCTTGCTAGGACCTTTCCCGGCAGAATGAGGAGGGAGATAACCCCAGTAGTTATTACAATCTGTGCGGTCCCCCTTATTAAATAGGGAGACCACCAGGTCATCCTTTCAATCCTGCGGAACCCATCCAGACTGTGGTAATGATGTCATATAGGGCAGTCTGCACACACATGCCACCCTCCCTCACACCGTCACACATACAACTACACCACACACACTACGTCAAACACACCACACATCACAAACACCATATACACCACTAGATACACACCTCTTGACCCACACCACTTCATACACACCATGTGACCCAAACATATAATGCAATTTAATTAAAAATTCTACTTGGAATTATTCTATGCTACATTCAGCAAAATACCAGGACTAAAAAACACATGGTGCTCAGCGAAATTTGAAGGTGAAGAAAATATTCGCTGCACCCCTTAACTGTACACGTATAATTCATGGTAATTTTCTTGAAAATAATTAACATTTAGTTGGTTGGAATATAGGCTTACATCTAGTTGAGATATTGTTTAACTTATCAACTTTTGGACCTGTTTATATGAGTTTTAACAGCAAGATTTTGCATCATAAAACACAATCTGCTGGTTAACCTGATGCTACAAGCAATATCAGCCACCTATATGGAAATCCACATTGCTTCTCACCCTGTTATTAATTCATTCGTTGTGTCTAGCCCTGTCCCTTCCCCCAGTCACCATTCCCCTTGTCTAATCCTGTCCCGGCCACCTATTCCTCATGTCCTACCCAGACATGCTTGTCCATTTCCTATGCCGAAATATAACTTTTGTCACTTCATAATTTACCCGTGCCTCGTGTCAATTATGCTCCTATTTGCCATGTCTAATTCTAACACTGACCACCCAGGCATCAATCAGCCTCCCACCCACCCCCTCTGTCAGTCCCGGGAGAGGAGGTGCAGGTGGAGGCTGGGAGCTACGAGCTGCCAGATGAGATGGGCCCCCCAGGAGATGGACCCGTGCCCCTTGGCTGGGTGGACGGGGAGGAGGACGCATTGGGAGACCGGGATGTGGAAAGTGAATGTGACATGTTCAGTGACGGTGGGTCCCGGCTCGCGACACCATTACTCACCTCTCACAAAGTAAAATAAATGCATGAGCCTCACGCAGAGTACACTTGTACGAGCACACTTTAGTTAGCTGCATGCCACGGTGGCGAGACGTAAACTACTTCACAGGGTATACAGGAGGTTGTGGTTTCAATGCCGACCCTGATGCCTGTATTTTGTATTTGCGTGTCTCTCTCCCCATGGATTTTTCTCCGAGTCCTCCAGTTTTTCCCTCCACGTTTATAAACACGCGTTTAAAGTATTTGGCTGCTTTAAATATCCACGTGATACACCACGTGGTTAAGCTATTTTTTCTGTGGCCAAGTCACTGAAAAAGAGCTTATTATGTGGCACCATTACTCGGCCATCCTCTGCATCCTTGCAGTACCTTAGTTTTTACATCCACTGCAAGCCATATCAAAACTAAGCTGATCTGGAGCTCGTTTCCACCATCGGTTGTCTTTGGGCCATCCTGGTGCTTGAACCTTACTTGGTGGTGACTGGGCACATGGCCTGTAATCCAGCACTCTGGAGGTGAGGATGGATGGCACAAATGTTGTGAAACGCCCTTCCCCGTGGGCGTCGAGGTGCCATACCTTGGTTCGCGAGAAGGCGGCACAGCAAGTTGAATAATTGCTATCTGTTTGTTTGCATCTATACGTGGGGGATATAGAGCATTGTCCCCTTGTCCAAGGCGTGGGTTTGCTCCGGGCGCTCCGATTTCCTCCCATTTGTATGAACACTCATTAATTGGTTGACATCTTAAAATAAAAAAACAACCCAATCCAGGACCCTGCTGAAAAAGAGTGCAGTGACTCAATGTGGCTGTCCTGGAAAAAAGATGTAAATGCTTGAACCGAGATGAGTGTGGCCGAATTACAATTCCCCTGAACCAAGTGGCCTCATACCGGCCCATCCCACTCTCCACAGCCCTTTGTTTGTCACACACCTACCGCCTGTCACCATGTACCGATCTCTCACTGGACAGGAATCTAGGTTGAGGTCAGGGGGTGGTGATAAGTTACAAAAGTTTAATTTAACTAGAGATTTAGTAAGGCTTTAGCTAAAAGCTAAAATGTGGTGTAATTGCATGATGTAGTGGCAACACTTGTGCCTCACAGCAAGAAGGCTGTCTCTGGTGTAGGCCATTCAGTTTAAAAGGCAATGCATATATAATTATCAAAGCATATTTGTTTGCATATTTTGCTACAAGTATGTGTGGTTAATGCAGACTTGATGCCTCGAAATAGGTATCTAGTTGGTGTTTTAAGATTTTAACACCTGTTTTATTGCCAGAAAGGGTAAAGGCTATTATTTTTTCATTATTTGGATTCTGGCAAAAAGTTCCCATAGATATCGATGTACTATATTTGCAAAAATGTATGAATCATCATAGGTGGCTGCCAGGATTGTAACCGAGGATCTACGCAACGCTGGTTCAGTGCTCTGACATTTAACTTTGCAAACCACCAATAATCCGCAAATTAAAGATTCACGTGTTATTCGATTGCGGATGTTTGGATTTCTGCTTGTGACTGCCTCGCTGACTGTAATACGGCCGCTAAGCCACGCTCGCTCCATTGTGTCTGCACCCAGGTGGGGTAAACGAGAAGCCGTACATGTGCACGGTGTGCGACAAAAGGTTCGCCAACGTTGGAGGCCTCAAGGACCACCAACGGACACACAGGGGCGAGCGGCCGCACGTGTGCACGGCATGCGGCAAGGACTTCCTACACCTGTCCTCCCTCAAGGCCCACCAGCGAACGCACACGGGCGAGCGGCCGCACATATGCAATGAGTGCGGCAGGGGCTTCTCGGACACGTCCAACCTCAAAAAGCACGTGCGCACGCATACGGGCGAGCGGCCCTACAAGTGCGGCGAGTGCGAAAGGGGCTTCTCGCAGGCGTCCACGCTCAAGATCCACCAAAAGACCCACCGCGACAAGGAGGCGAAGGCCGCCCTGGGCCTGGCCGTGAAGTAGGCGCCGACGCCCACGGCCCTGCTTGTGCCGGCGGCTCAGCGAAGGTGCAGGTGGAAGGGGAGTTCCGTAGCTCCGACGCGTTTTTTTTAATTAAAAAAAGAAAATCTGACATTTTTGCATTGCACTGCAATTCTGTCACAGTTCATTCAAAAGTGAAAATGTTACTTTGCAGTGATGAGGCGTTTACTCCAAAAGCAGGAAAGTGTTGGGCTAAAAATTGGAACGTAATGTATGTTTTGGAATTTTGGGAAGGGTGGTTGGTGTCTGTTTGGTGTGCTTTGCTCTATTTTGGGTCTTCTTAAAACTGCAGTTGTTTTGTTTTTGTGTTCCCAACTGTGCGTAGACCACTGAGGCAGGAGCACTGGAATTTGACATTTGCTGACTGTTGTACTCAAAAGGTCATGTAACGATACTTGGACCTTGTTTTAATTGCTTTTTCTATCTGCTGTGTACGAGTAACCACGCTACGGTAATGCTTAGCGTTCCCCTAATTCCCGGAAGGTATATGTAATGTAAATATTACAATACTGTGTTCGTTGTGCTCTAAATACCATGGAGCGTTTTTTTAATATTACATGATAAAAGGCTAAAATACTAATTTCTTCAATCATCGAACATTTTTTGGCCAGAGCTTGGGGATATTTAAAAAAAGGTGCGCCACGGTGGTGAGAAGTTAACTATCTTGCCTGGTATACGGGATGTCATGGGTTCGATCCCGACCCTGACGCCTGTATATTTGTAATTTGCATCCTCTCCCCGTGGTCGTGTGGATTTTTCTCCGGGTCCTCCGGTTTTTCCCTCCACATTTTGAATCAACATGCATTTAGAGTATTTGGCTGCTATAATTTTCCACATGATAAGCCACTTCGTTGAGCTATCATTTGTGGTCAGGTCGCTTCTGAAAAAGAGTCATATAACTTAGTGGACCTTACCTGATAAAACTAAAATTGTTTAATGGTTTGAGTATTTAAAAAAAAAGGCTATTTATACTTACGAGTGCTCCACAAGAGTACCACGTCTCTTATCCATGGCCCCTTTGTCCGAGTTATTATCCATCGCGAAGGCGATCTGTGAATCCCACTTACCCAGGCATTGCTACTTTTTTCCTGTGATCCATGGCATAGAGGGGGGAAGCTCGCTTAAAGACTCTCCGAGGAGATGGCAACCAATTGCAAGATTTATCCGTGCTGCAGATATGTAATGGCCCAGTTACTCTGCATGTACAGGAAGCTCTCCCATGGTTGTTTTGAGCAATCGGACACTCTTCCTGCAGTTGTTTTTGTTTTACAAATCGCAAAAGTTTTATCCGTGGTGGTGTTTGCTGTGGGTAACGATTCCAGTGAAGGTGGCGTTGGGGCTTACACATTGTGGCAAGCACTTTTATAGTGTCTTCTGTGCCTTGCGTTATTATCCACGTGATTTTTTAAATATAAATTGTGGATAACAGGAGTTTAAAAAAATACCTCTGCAGCTGGAGGTTAGCCCCAGATAACGTGCCTCTGCTAAATTTGTCTGCTTGCCGGGTACAGACGATACCCTCCCAAGATACTGTGCATTTCCACTGCTTTTTCACAACTGGCATTATTTCACATTGAGTCTTTGTGTCCGTTTTAACAAGCTTATGCCGAGCTATTTGATGCTGCCAGAACTCTTCATCCTTTAAAATCCGAATTGTGTTTTTCGAACATGCTTTATCGGAAGAATGTGTTTGAAGTTAGAAAATCACTGTGCTTTTAATTGTGCTCTTAGAGTGCTCTGTATAGCTGTTTAAGGGAGCCTTGAGCAAGATTCGTAATGTTTTTAGCGTTAAGAATAACCACTTTAGAAAACGCACGTTTCTCTTAAAATTTTGTACAGAACGTTTTGAGAGAGCTATAAAGAAGTTTAAGAATCAATTTTTAAACACGGGGTGCGGTGGTGTGTTGTGAATTTATTATCTTAAATCCTGCTTACCTGAGAGCACAAATATAGTTTGTAAAATATCTCGCTGGACCTAAAATGTTAAATTGCATTGTGCAAAGAAATGAGTAGGGTCATGGTTCAATCCTTAGTGCAGAGGGGAACGTCACGAGACAGGCACCCGGGTGCAGTGAATCGAACGATGCTGGTGGGTGGTCACGGAGATGAGACGCGAGAAAATGAAACGTGAGTGTTTAGGCCTTACTCTTCATCAGCGGATGTGGTGTGTTCTAGCGACTGTATGATACAGTTCCACTGTGCTGTGTCTTTGGTTCTCTGTAAGCCTTGCTGCTGTCGATTCTGGAGGACAGGTGGCAGCCGACTGCTGGGCACTCGCGATATACAAGCCTTCTCTGCGGAGGCCGATGCTGAACTAAACACAGAGGTCCTCGCAAAGAATGGAGAATCTTGCCACTATAATGTAAGACATTCAGGACATGTGAATAGATGTACTGTACTGTGTCCATTGCAGTTTAACCATCATGAGGTATGAATAGAACATCCATGATTTTTATATTTTTATGAATGTGACACGTGTTAATAACCGAGTTTCAACTTAAAAAACATTTAACAATGCTGTATTGAGTTTTTAGGCTGTTCATTGCCGTGGCTGAACCAATCACAGTAATTATGTTTCCACGCCAGGACCAATCTCTGAAATCTTAACCACTTGAGCCTATTGTACAGGGCTAAGATTAAGAGTCACTGAGTTTTGCCACAGTGGCAATTTGCAATTCATGATAAAATTCAGTCTTCCAAAAATCAGTCCATCCTGCACTCGCTGGCCTCTTATTCATTTCAGACCCAATCCTCATTGAAGAATTGTGTACACTTTACACTGCTTTCTCCAGTTTCCTTCCAACAATGATCAGACTTGAAAAAGATTCTGACTTAAAACTTTCGTTACTGCAGGAATTCATATTCTTTGGTTCTTTCGGTAAAGTCACGTAGATAGAAATATAATCAAAATAAAGTGAATAAAAAATAAAATAAAATAAAACACTAATGTAGACTGTAGCCTGCTTCTTAATCTGAGTGAGTGTACTGGCAGTCTATAATGTAGACTGTAGCCTGGTTATTAAGTTTGGTGAGTGTACTGGCTGTCTAATGTAGACTGTAGCAATGGTTATTAAGCTGGGTGAGTGTACTGGCAGTCAATAATGTAGACTTATTCTTTGGTTCTTTCGGTAAAATAAAAAAACCACGACGTTTCAATCACAACACAAGCGATCGTCTTCAGGAGGAATGAGGGGGAGGTCACCGACGGCAACCGTTTTTTAAAGGTTTCAAAAAAGTGGGCATGGCACAAATGCTACGGTGGTGGAAGCATGGAACATGCAGTGCCAACCAAACGTCCTGGTGGCAGAATGAAGTGGGCGGGGCATATGTGCCCTGGGGAAAGGTAACAAAACACAAATCAAGTCATGACTTGACCTGTGCTCCCTTGACAAGAGAACGCAAATCAAATCATCGGTTGACATTGTGTCTGTATATATGGATGGCTTTATGAACGAATCTTTGATAGCCAGTGGGCTTGAAAAGTACCATCGTCTTAGAGAAATCAATTTTGTGTGCGCCAGCCGCATTAAAATAACGATCAGCCTCGGCAGAATTGTTGGTCCTTCCGTGTTTCAAATCTGCCTTATGCTAACGAACACGGTCCGAGACGTGTTGCTTAGTTTAACCAATGTAACTGCTGCCGCAGATACAGCTTAGTTTGTAGATGCTGGGATATTGCATGTCGGGGATCTTGTTCTTCTCAGATGGGATCAGATCACGATTTTTATGTACTGTGTTAAATGGGACCTAGATCTTGTGTTTGTTCATGATTTTGGAAATCTTTTTGGTTACCCCTGCTATGTATGGCAAGGTGATGGTTTTGATTGAAAAAGATTATTGTTTTGCCCATAATTCACATCGGCCCAACTTTTGCAAACCTATTCTTGGTTCTTTCGGTAAAGTCACGTAGAAGGGAAACAAAATAATAAAAATATAAAACAATAACATTATCACGACGTTTCGACTGCAACACAAGCAATCATCATCAGGTGTGATAACCACAGCAATAAATTTTGAAAAAAGTGGCGTTTTTTTAACGTTAGCACCACGGAGAGCGATTTGGCAGTTATTCAGATGGACGAGTCCATCTATGTTCGGAAAAGAGGAGGGGGGAGACGAAAGTAATGGATGTGGTCTGAAAGCCACCGTAAGCGTGAACAACCAATTAAGACCTGAAATCGTTTATCAAATCCTTCCAATGACTGCTAAGCCAGAATCCATCTTCTCGGTTGAAATTGTCTCTGTGTTTGTATATGTGGATAGCCTCATGAACGAATCTCTCATGGTAGCCAGATGGCTTGCAGATAACTTCTGTCTAGGAGAAGTCAATGTCATGTGAGCCTACTGAATTATAACAGTGATCAGCCATGGCCGAGGTGTTGGTCCTACCGTGTTTTAGGTCTGCTTTGTGTTCACGGATGCCACTTTTTTAAAATTTTCTTGCTGTGGTTTTCACACCTGATGATGTTTGCTTGTGTTGCAGTCGAAACGTCGTGAGAATGTTATTGTTTTATATTTTTATTATTTTATTGTTTCCCTTCTACGTGACTTTACCAAAAGAACCAAGAATATGAATCCCTGCAGTCACGAAGCTTTAAATCTAAATTTTGCAAACCTGTTTGAATGTTTTACCATAATTTCTTACAGTTCGCTTTCATTGGTTATATTTACCATTTAATCAACAATTATGATACAATTAATCCTGTTTCTATGTTCATGCCTCTAATCAATCCAATGCAAAAGCGGTTATTAATCTTAATGGGTGGCAGGTTGTGGCACAGTGGCAATACTTGTGCCTCGCAGCAAGAAGTACCTGGGTTTGATTGCTGACCCGGGTGCCTTGCTGTGTGGTGCTAGTGTGTTATTTGACTGTTCTGTATGGGTTTCCTCCAGGTTCTCTGGTTCTTCCCATAGAAAAACAAATCATACGAAGTAACTGCCATTGGCCACACATATCATTGCACAAAAGAAAATATCTGCAAATTTTGACACAGCAGCAACATCTCCCCTGACTGAAAGCTTGGCAGGACCCTCCTGAAAGAAGGTGGGTCCTGGAAAGGAAAGCCTGAGCCTCAAGACTCCTTTTTCAGGAGGGTCCTGCCAAGCTTTCCTGGGTAAACAAGTGGGATGATAAAATAAAAAATAAATGGACTCTCAACTGACCAAATAAAGGACATTCAGTTACACCACTGAACTATATGTGAGAAAAGGAAAATGATATGCCCTAAAACCAAAACGTGGCGCACATTTCCTAGACACACCTAACATTGAATGTCTTGGTCGGGTGGCATCCCATTGAGCTCAGATATAGTTATCTCGTGACATCACTCAAGGGTAACTGGTTCATGTGAGTTTGACATATAGGCTTTCGCGACCAATATTATTTATAGTAAAGCTTTTTTGGATTAGATAGTGTAAGTATAAATGTGTCCTTAACCTGCTACCACCCGACACAGCCAATTAGTAAGGTTTGTCACGGAAACAAAACGTGCCAATTAGTTACTACTTCAGCCCACCGGTGTGTTGGAGAGTAAATCCACAACAGTTACAATTTGAGTACTGTCACATTTCTGGTACAATTCTGGCAAATTTTCCCGATGATGCTGTATGTAATTACCAGTGAAACATCACGGTACTCAAATTGTAAATGTTGTGGATTTACTAACACACCGGTGTGCTGAACTCATAACGAATTGGCATGTTTTGTTTACGTGACAAACCTTACTAATTGGCTGTATCGGGTGGTGGCGGGTTAACGATAAATACTTAGGCGATCTAACCAAAAAAAACACATGGTTCATGTGGACGTCCATGGGGGAACATATATAAACATTTCATGACAAAGTTGTTGCTGATATATTGCACAGACTACACAATAAGGCGACCTTATACAACCTCGTGTTATTCACACCCCACATGAAATGTGCTCACGTACGTAGACTTGCTTTCCCTGTGACTTTATGCAGGTCTAAGTATGTGCTCTCAACCGGCACTGCATACTTTTATTGAAAGTTGGTATTTGTGAGTTTTCACCTGGAGACTGATTATATTTACCTAAAATAACACGCAATTATTTCTGGGTAACGGTTGGAAATAGGATGAGGAAATGAGCTGAGTGACATATGTAATGGCTTTTAATTAGATATTAAACGAGTCGAGCATGTTGTGGAAGTTACAAGTAACTAAATTAAATAAATCATTAAAGCAACGTGAAACTCACACGTGGCCCATAATGCTTACACAAAAATAAAATTCACATATCGTGTTTATAGAAGCTGAGAATAAACGCTTTCGGATATACAGTGGATATTTGCTCCTGCATAATGTTTGGTAATATTGCAATATTGTAACATTTCTATTATTTAAAATGTAATTAATAGCTCATGAACATTGAATGTTATTTTCATAATTTTAAAAATCGTATACTCTCGTGTAATAATTGCTAGTTATTTGGTGTATTTAAACACTAATCAAGCCATTGTATGAACCATACAGTGCTTCAGAGTTGACATTAAAGATCCCATAACGTCATGCAAAGAGTAGCTAGGCCATTGTGCCAGCGGTCATGGTCCTAATTGACCAAATTTGACACTGAGGCTTTTCTGCAGTAAACAAGCTTAATAATAAAACCGTGTTGTGTATTTGTATCCATCTGTGCCTACTGTAGACTTCTTCTATGTTCCAATATACAGTATCTGTGGACTATAGCCTGGCTTACAGGACATCGAACAGCAATCATTTCTGCCTGAAGATCAGTTAGGTCTTCCTGCTTTTCTCTAAAGTGGCTCGATGGAAACACACCCGAGTTTAAAAAAAAAACATTCGCCATATCCCTCCGTTGCCCCCCTTAGGTTTCCTCAAGTTAATTTCTGCAACCGGCTTGCATTCGTTAAGCGTAAAGGATGAGACGACGGGGTGTGTAAAGGTCAGATGACGAAGCAGTCGATTGCAGATGCTCATCAGTTTGCATTCACAAACAGCTGCCCACGAACGCGTGCCGGTGTGCCATGCTGCTGGTAAATCCCCCGGCGCTCGCGAATCGCCCGTCGCTGGGCAGAGCGGATTTCAGACACTCGAGCGGGTTCGGCTGCCGAGATGGCAGGCAGCCGAGATGGCACAGGATACTTCGTCAATGTATACACAGCTCGTGAACACACCCGGATACTGGCTGCTGTCTCCAGAAATGATTAAAGTGTTATTCTTTCCTCCCGTCAATTGCTCGTGGTTGGAAACAGAATAGATACAAAAAATACTCCCGTGTAAGTGGAATGCTGTGCACTTTGCGTGGGAGTGAGTCCACCGCGAGTGGCTTCTGGTCTCATGGGTGCAACATTGCTTGATTGATGCACGAGCCCGATTGATAGCTGTGCATTCTGGTTGATAATTCCCATTCTAGAATGTAAAAGTGTGGTTTAATTTAGCACGATTGCTGGAGAATTCCAGTGGATATTCATGACCATTACAGTTTATATTGTTTAATTTGACAGTAAAGTTACCAGTATATGTTTCAAAGTGCTATCCTCTTGGATATATTACATTTCGTTTTTCAGTCCCACCAGGTTTTAATTTGATGTTGAGCCGATTTCAATATGCGACGGCACTTCTGATCTCCGATGGCGATGCTTTAAGAGACATCAACGTCATGGCGTTGTTCAGGGGCAGTCGCTTTACGACAAAAGGTGCAAGGCAAGCATACTGTCACCGACACCACTACGTTGTAGAGATTATTTATAAAAGATAGAATACTGAGCAATAACATACCGATCATGGACGTGGACCAGTAGCAAATGACGTACAGGAAAAAAAGCATGAATCGGCCCAGGCATCATTGGAGACATTGACGTCGTTCTATTCCAAATGTGAATGGTGTCTTAAATAGAGAGCAGTGCTCCAGGGAGGCAGAGCTGTTTAATCGTTACACAAGAGCTCGCCAGATGGTATAGTGTGGCATTTTGGATTGATATCAGTTCGACACGTAGGCTTTAGGTATGTTGAGACAAGAGGTTGGATAGATGTTTTGAGATAGAGTATGGATTTGACTCTACACAGAATATATTAAACATCGAAAACGGAACGTGCATTTATACATATAAAATATGTCTATATACAAATGTATATGTGCTATGTACAGGGATATATACGCTCAAATAATTGTATATACAGTACATGTGTTTTATGAATGTAAAAAAATGCCCCAGTACGCAGACGGGGGGATATAAATGGGGATTAATCGTGAAAATTAACACCGAATCCATCAAACGGCAGCCTCGCTCTGCTGCCTGGGCCTATTTTATGGATGCATCCAGATTGGCTGAGTGGTTCCGTAGCAGCAAGGTTACTCGCTAACAATGCTCACAGACTGGATAAGAAAAGTAAATAATAATCTGCTTCCATAAAACAGCAGGCCACTTGGATTAAGGTTTCCGAAGGTCGTGCCTTTTAAACTCATCATCAGCCATGATCAATCCACTGCTCGATGGAGGCGATCCCAATCTGCTGCCTCCACATTCCTACGATGTAATAATTCACCTGCACACAAACCGTTTTCGTCACTCCATCTCTTTAGTGGGCGCGTTCCATTCCTTGGCTGTCACTTGTCCTGCCCAAGCCCACTTTTATTAACCTGCATATGTTCTGTCATCCACGTGTTCCTTTCCCTGTGTCTCAATGCAAATCCAAGCGTGCATCTCTCCACGGCTCTTCTGTGGCCTTAAAGTGTTGTTCTCCGTTTCGTAACGAGCGTGTCCTTGAACCGTGCATCGTGGCACGTAGCAGTAGTACGCACCCATTAGAAACTTCCTCCGGGAGCCACATTCGTACGTTGCTCTTCAAGTCCAGCATTCCCAAACAACTCCATCCTGCCTCTCTCCTCCACATGTTTCACCTCTTTGAATTCAGTTCACCTTCAACCGCAGGTCGAGGTATACACATTCTGCCGTGTTGTCAGGTGCAGATTTTGCTACAAATTTTCCGGCACGCGATGCCAGACCCCACTGTTGGTGGACTGCTTCTTGCTCAAAACCATCGTCGTTGGGTTGACGGGCTACAAAGTAACTGATGACACCGTGTTGAAGTTGAAACCTTTTCAGGGACTCGCCATGTTCGGATGAGCACCACTGCCCTTAACTGATCCGGCAAAGATCGCTGTTCAGCAGACAAAGCGTGACCCCACTTTGGCGATACACACGCAGGACACCGCATTCCCACCTTCACGTTCATTCATGTGCAGAGCACAGTGGACTAGGGAGCCGAGAAACACGTCGCTGGTGATGTATTTGAGGAGGAAAGGGGCCTCGCTGTGAGCCCGACTGAGCTCACAGCAAGGGCACTTTAGTGTGGAGAGACGCTGGAGCCATGAGAAACGAAGGACACTGCCGGTGCCAGGCAGTTTCCCCCATAACTCCTGAATTACCTGAAGAGTTAATATGCTGTATGGCATAATCTTCCAAATGTGCCTTGTTGGCCCGCCCTGTCCGTGTGACGCGTGCCCTCTCTCCAGCATGATGCCAGTTGGCCACTTCAAACCTCACAGAGGATACGGGCACTGGGCACCGGTGGGGCCGTTCCAATCGGTGTCACAGCTGGTCAGAGCAGAGAAGCGCTAGGAGGATCTCGGAATAGGCAGCATTGATCGCTCCCTGCACGTGGAAGGTGGTGACCGGGAGAGCGCTTCCCCCAGCCCCACGGGACCTCGGGATTACCTGACGCGCAGAGAGGGTACACGTCACGTGTTGAACACACCGTGATACAAAGAACAAAGATCCCGCGTGTAGCCTTAGACTGTAGGGGCAAGTGCTGTTAGCGAGCACCTATGAAGGCAGGAACGTACACGAGGGGGTGGGTGGCCAGCACCACGCCCGACCGCCTTTGTCTCCCCAGTGGTGATGTTTACACGCCGCACCAGGTACTCATTTGAGTATGAAGGGAGGCCCGGGACCAGTTTAGATAATAGTCACTGGTGTTGGCCGCGAGCGGGAATCGAACTCGGTCACTGGGTTCGTAGCTCAGCACACTAACCGCAACACTACCGCTGTACATACCCCACTACCCACACCCCGCTACAAAGACAAATATCCCCCGTATAGCTTTGAGAGACTTTTGGGGAAAGTGCTATTAGTGAGCACCTATGAAGGCTACAACGGTACACGAGGGGGTGGGTAACCAAGCACCACATCCGGCCGCCTTCGTCTCCCCAGTATCGATGTTTACACACCGCATAAGGTACTCATTTGAGGCTGAGTCGACCTATGGGAGGCCCGGGTGAAGCGAACGCGGATGAAGCGAGCGCGGGCGAAGGGAGCACGCGGGTGAAGCGAGCGAGGGGTTAAGCGAGCATAGGTGAAGCGAGGGAGGGGTGAAGTGGGTGAAGCGAGCGAGGGGTGAAGTGAGCGTGGGTCAAGCGAGGGAGGGGTGAAGTGGGTGAAGCGAGCGAGGGGTGAAGTGAGCGTGGGTGAAGCGGGCGAGCGCACCTCGTGGAAGTGGCAGCTGCACTTGCCGTGCAGGAACTCTGCATGCCGAGCCACAGTCACGTTCCACGTGTCCACGATGGAGAATCCGAGCGTGTGTGCTTCCTGCATGATGCCCACATTGCGCTGCCACACGGCCCTCTGCTCACTCTGCAGGGGCACACACAAATACAAAGATCCCCCGTATAGCCTGGAATAGACTCTTGAGGAAAGTGCTGTGAACGAGAAACCCATGAAGGCCAGCATCGTGCACGAGGGGGCGGGTGGTTAACACACCCGGCTGCCTTTGTTTCCCCAGCAGTTATACCTTTTACACACCGCATTTGTACTCATTTGAAGCTGAATCAACCTAGGGGAGGCCTAAGATCGGTTCAGATAATTGTGACGATTATAATCATCACTGGTGTGGGCGGCGAGTGGGAATTGAACTCGAGTCGCATGGTTCATGGCGCGGCGCGCTAAACGTTCCCAAACAGACGCGCAAACACGCACGCGCCCAACCTGGTATCACACTTACGTATGCAATGCACACCCTCAGGACATGACAATGTCCCAGAAAAGTGTGGGTAGAGGACGTCATCAGAGAATCATCGCTGATTCCGAGCTCTCGGCCTCATCCCACACAGCTTAATTCTGCAGGGCCTCCTGGCTCCTCCTTTGCACAACCATCTCCCACAACCTGTCACCTGCTTCGCCCCAACTGATGCTGCGATTCTCATCGATGTCTGGACCACCTCTCAATATCATGGCCTCCCCAGTGGCCTCACCTCCAAACCTCAGATGATCCACGTGCCATCTGGCAAACTTCTCGCTCACCCATGGACCTGTTTCCCCATGTTAGTGTGGAGGTCCCTGAGGGGGTGCTGAGACCCAAAATCCCTTCAACCATATGGTGGGCTTCTCTCCACGGAAGTCAAATGCGGATTTCAGGTGGATGGAGCAGGCTACGGGTTGGAACTCTCGGTGGCCGGAGGGCGAGCCAAGGCATCTGTGTTGGTGAATCTGTGCTACTGTGGCCAACGGCATTTGTGCAGGAGCTGTCCTTCCCACGCACCTTCCGATTAGCACGGTTGGCTACTTACAGTGGGAAAGAAGTTCCACGTACGTACATACCATAACTCTTGAATCCCTCCTCTGGCTTCAATTCCAGTCCTGGACAACATCATCCTCAACATCTTCCACGTCCTACATTGTACTGGCCCATCTGACTCCTCTCCGCGCACTCTGCCTACCTCTCCCATCTCTCGACATCTCTTTCCAACGCTTTCCTATCCCTTCTCGTATCACTGGCAGTGCTCACTGCTACAGCAACAATAATTAATATATATATCATAATTGAAACTTATAAGACGCATGGTATTCACTCACTCTGAAATAGGCGCAAGGAGGAACCACAGGACAAGTGGGAAGGCAGCCATGCGATGCCCAACACCAACAATTTCCCCAAGCTCTGCAGTCCTCTATATATTAGGGAGCGTTATTGGCAAATGAATGAGTGGAAGGAAACTGGAGCACTAGGAGAACCCCCACGTGCGCAAAGGGGGAAACACTCTTATCCCATAGAGACATACCAAGTGGAGTCCAAATGCTGCTGTACTGCCTTCTGGCGTGACAGAATACAACTCTTCGATGCCCACGGGAAGGGACTTTCACAACATTCTGGATGCAATCCACCAACCCTCGCCTCCAGTGTTGGATTACAGGCCACGTTGATAGACCCAAACGCCCAGCTACGAAGGCCTTCCATTGAAGGCCTGAGAGAACCTTTCCTCTGTGGGAAAGTCACTCCTCCTCTGCTGCCAATAGCATCTGGAGCTTCCTTCAAGCAGCCACGCACGCTCAGCTCCCTTCCCCTAGCCACGGTCACGTGCCCGGTGGACGGGCACGAACTACTTGGGATGTTAAAGAGAGGTCAAAATGCAAACACATGCCCATTCTAAGTCTCTCTCAGACTCCCGGTCTTTCTCTTTTTGGCTGCCGTCTGTGCCGCTGAAGCGGTGTTTCATTCAGTCTCGGGGCCGCCGTCGCCTTGAGAGTTGTGTGTGGGCCTAGGGATAGCTGAGGACTCGCGCGTGGCAAGCGCCCCTCATGCCGGACGCACTCACCAGAGACAGGGAGCGCGTGCTCTCCACTGGCAGGCCAAAGCCCATGCTCAGCGTCTTCACCAGCACCCGTGCCCTGGACAAGCCCTCCCTGCGGCCACAGGCATTCGGCAGCGAACATCGGGCAAGCAGCCCGCATCAACATTCCGCTCACAACTGGGGGTATGTACATTTATTTTTAAAAATATATACATAGCCGAAAAATCAAAGATGTAGCTCATGGCAACAAAATTTCGTAGATACCGCCGCAGCAGGAGGTTCAGTGAGCGCAGGTGGTGGGGCCACAGCCAGTGCACGCCACCCAACAGCAGCACAGTGCGCCACCCGTCGATAAGCGGTCGCGAGCTGCACACCGCACGCACGCACAGACCGCACACACAAAGCACGTGCACACCGCACGCACGTACAAATCGCACACAATGCACGTCCACACCGCACGCACACACACACCACACGCACACACTGCAAGCAAGCACACCGTGAGGCTCCTCCTGAACGAACCGAGAGGACGTGGAGCAGCCGGCTGTTGTTGCTGCTGCTCTGCGTACGACGATGAGTGATGGGGACACGCGGTGCCGAGGGTGCACGTTTGTGCACAGCATGGGTTGTGCTGTAACTGGCGGGAGCGTGCATTGACCGAAGAACATCGCAGTGGCAGTAGCCGCTGCTTGGGGCACAGAGACGATATGGGGAAGGATCTTAAGTCACTCTGCTTACGTCGCACCGCTTACGTCGCGCCAGTTACCCCGCTCCGCTTACGTCGCACCAGTTACCCCGCTCCGCTTACGTCACACCAGTTACCCCGCTCCACTTACGTCGCACCAGTTACCCCTATTACAGTGGAAACCCTCACAATGGTCAGAGGTTTACAAGCCCTGCTGGAACGAACATTGCAACGGTGCTCATCTCCTCTTAACAGAGCTGAGCCAGTGACGGAAATTCCACATTCCTCTGGCAGAGGGCAAGTATATCCATAGGTCAACCGCTGTTGATCTCCACACAAAGCGGTACTAATTTTATTGACCCCGGGGGGATTGAGAGGCTGCATCAACCCCCCAAACCAGGAACTGAACTCGCAAACCTTTTCCGAATGTAAGCGGCTCGATGTACCGCTGTGACCCGTCTGGCCGGTTGAGAGGCTCACCAGGTGAGACGCATTACATAAAATCCGTGATCTGGTTCCGTCTGTAAAAGATGTGATTCCGGACATACAGTACCCTGGTGTCTACAAACTAAGTTGCCTCTGTGGTAGTAGTTACATCGGAGAAACCAAACGCCATGTCTCGGACTGCATTCGTGAACACAAAGCAGAGCTTAAACACGGTAGGACCAACACCTCGACCGTGGCAGATCATTGTTATAATTCAGTAGGCTCACATGACATTGACTTTTCCAAGACAGAGGTTCTTTGTAAGCCATCTGGCTACCATGAGAGATTCGTTCATGAGGCTATCCACATATACAAGCACAGAGACAATTTCAACCGAGAAGATGGATTCTGGCTTAGCAATCATTGGAAAGATTTGATAAACCATTTCAGGTCTTAATTGATTGTTCACGCTTACAGTGGCTTTCAGACAGCATACATTAATTTTTCGTCTCCTCCCTCCTCTTTTCAGAACATAGATGGACTAGTCCTTCTAAATAAACTGCCAAATCGCTGCGCGTGGCACTGACGTTTTTTATAAATAAATAAATACACCTTTAAAAATAAATAAATGCAAACCGACACACCTGATGACGACCGTTTGTATTATGGCCGAAACGTCGTGAGAATTTTTATTGTTTTATATATATTTTATTATTTTATTGTTTCCCTTCAACGTGACATTACCGAAAGAGCTAAGAATATGAATTACTGCAGTCACAAAAGCTTCAAATCAAAAGTTTAATGACTCTCAAAGAGTCTAAATGTTGCACCGACGGTACCGTTGGTAGCCGAGCTGGCACGGTCGCGATCCACAGAAGCAGCCACCCATCATTAAACCGGGGCATAAAAAAACTTAAATTTTTTAATTTTACCAGGGGCACTGAGCTACACAGCGACCTGGAGATAAATGATCGCTTAACGGAGAAGGCTTATCATCACGTGGAAATTTATAGCAGCGAAATACACTAAACACACGCTGATTCTAAATGTGGAGAGAAAATCCGGAGGACTTGGAGAAAAATCCACGTGACCACGGGGAGAACATGCAAACTCCAAATATACAGCAAGTGTCAGGGTCGGGATCTAACCCATGACCTTGTGAATACCAGGCGAGGTAGTCAACATCTATCCACCGCATGGCCAACTCGACAGCGGACGGTCGAGGACAAGAAGGCTATGCGCTGCGGGACCGCTGCGGACCTGGCGATGAGCAGCATCACCGTCTCCTCGAAGGTCCGCTGGTGCTGTGGCACCACCCAGAACTGCGGGAAGTAGGCGAAGGCGGCGTGTGTGAGTCCGCGATTCAGGAAGCGGTAGTGCTTTGAGCCGTGAATCTGCTCCCAATGGGCCAGCGTGCCGTTAAGGCGTTCCATCAGGTAGAACATCATCCCGCGCGCCGTCGAGTCTCCCACCACCAGCAGCTGCCGGGTGAGAGAGTGGGAAAAACGCAACGATCCCTGACCTAGAGTTCGGCGGAACCCACTTTGTGCTCTAGGAAGAGTCAACCCGATTGATTATCCGGTTCAGTTCGGGTTAACCCAAAACCCGTTTGGGCAGTTGCAGTTCAGTCAGTTCAAAAAGGGCTTTGAATGCTCAGTTCCATTTAACTGTCTGAAATACATATTTTAACCAGTTCAGTTGCATATACTCAGTTAATTCAGTATGTAACATATTATTATGTACTCATAACACCCTAAGTTAATGCTGCATGCAATGCAGTGAACAATGCCCATTTAACTCTGTGCACAAAAGTGTGCACGTCACTCACATTATCTGGGCAGTCTGCTTCACAATCAGTCGCACGAACTCCAATTTCCTCGGCTAGTTAAGCCAAAATCAGAATATTTATTTATACTGGATGAATCCGATGAGCTATGAAGCTCTTTTTCACAGATGTCCAATAGGGGTGGGTAAGAACGTTACAACAACAAATAATACAAACACACGATCGTAGTGCAAAGTACAAGAAAGGTAAACAAATCACCCAAACACATAGAAATACAACACTAAACCATCCCCATCCTACCAAACAAAGCCCACTGAGTTATTAACTTATTTTTCAGAAGCGACCTGGCCACAAATAATAGCTCAACAAAGTGGCTTATAATTTGGATATTTATAGCAGCAAAATAATCTAAATCATCTCAATGCATGTTTCTAAATGTGGAGGGAAAAACCGGAGGACCCGGAGAAAAAATCCACACAACCATGAAGAGAGAGACAACGCAAACTCCAAATATACAGCAGGCGTCAGGGTTGGGATTGAACCCCCTACCTCCTACATATCACATGAGGAAGATAACATAACACCACTGTGGCACCCCTTAAATAAGCTTGCCATCTTTTTCGACTTCCATGGTAAATCTGATGGCTGGGTGTATGGAATTGATGTGGTCGAGGAATTGGTCTACGCAGGCCGGCCATGTGGCCAGATGACAAAAGTGTCATCCATGTACCTCTTCCGTAAGGTTGGGCGCAGAGTGGCAGTCTGGATGGCGTCAGTCTCAAATTTCTCCATGAAAATTTTGGCTACAACCGGAGATAGGGGGGAGCCCATTGGGGTGCCCTCAGTTTGTTTGTAGAAAGTTCCATTCTAAGTGAAGTATGTATTGGATAAGCAGTGTCTCACCAGGGGGGGTACCTCAGTGTTTAGTCCTTGATGAACCAAGTCTTCAATGATTGGGATGGTGTCAGGTACCTTTTTGGATGTCCTAATAAAAAAGAGAACTGGTGGTTTAAAAAAAAAACACTTACTTCTTATGGAGAGGGGATTTCTTTAAACAAAAGGAAGGAGCAGCAATGGGCTCTCCTTTATCTCCTGCTATTGTAAATCTGTACATGGAAAACTTTGAAATAAGAGCACTTGCCTCGAGCACATTAAAACCATCTTTTTGGTTTAGGTATGTGGATGACACTTTGGTTGTCTGGCCACATGGTAAATATACAGTTAATGATTTTCTAAATCATCTCAATGCACAAAACCCGGCCATCCACTTCACCATGGAAATGGAGGTGAATAACACACTCCCGTTCCTAGATATTTTGCTTGGACATGGCCTAAATGGTAAAATAACACACAGCGTTTACAGAAAGCAAACGCACACTGATGCCTATCTGCATGCAGATTCGCATCATCATCCAGCTCAGAAATCCTCTCTTATCAAGACACTCATGCATTGGGCTAAAACAGTGTCAGATGGTGGAATTCTAGTGAGAGAGATCAAACACGTTTAAGAAGCATTACGACAGAATGGCTACAATAATACTCAAATTAACAGAGCACTGAATGCCAAATCACGATCGCAAAGCAACACTGCTGAAAGCGATCAGATTGTTAAAACAATAAAAATTCCATATATCTCAGGAGTAACTGACAAATTAGCCCTTGTTTTGCAAAAGCAAAACATTACAGTAAGATTTGGTACAGTACACAAAATTCAAAAACTAGCACCTTGCACTAAAGACGAATTACCTAAATTATCAACAGAAGGTGTATATCGGATTGATTGTTTATGTGGCAGATGCTATATTGGACAGACGGGACATAAAAGAACACCAAAGAAATATTAAATTATCTCAAACACAACTGTCGCCAGTGGCAGAACATGCTTGTCAACAAGGACACTCAATTGATTTTGATAACGTTGCAGTGTTGTGTAAAACGAATTATTACTGGCAAAGACTAATTAGATAATCCATTGAAATTGAGAGAAATAGAAATAACTTTAATCGCTCCGACAGCTACAGGCTTAGTGCGGCTTGGAAGCGTATTATTAAATAAAACATATTACAATTCCTTATAGGGGAAACACATACTAATTAACGGATTGACTGATTACCAATCGATTATAATAATTACAATACCCCCCCCCTCCGCCTCAAATCACTGCACCTGAATGAGTTAAATTATGACGTCACCCTGCTGCTCTATTTAAGACCGGGAGCAAGTGAGGGCTTTACCATTCTGGCGAATTGCCCGATGATGCTGGATGTAATTACCAGCGAAATGTTGTACTCAAACTGTAAATGTTGTGGATTCACTCTTGAACACACCGGTGGGCTAAAGTAGTGAACTATTTGTCTTTTGTCAACGTGACACTTTTTTTTGCTGATTGGCCATGTCGGGTGGTCGAGGGTTATGACACATTTATAAATAACGTGATCTAACCCAAAAACCTTTATTATGAATAATAGTGGTCGCGAAAGCCTACGTGTTAAAGCCAACCGTGCTAATCGGAAGGTGCGGGGCTTTGTGAGAAGCGATGCTCGCTGTGTGCCAGAAAGACATCACGATACACTTACCTTCACTCCCAGCATGCACTGCTGCAGCTGTTGCTGACTAAACCGAGGGTGGCGACAGCCGGAGACCTCCCAGGCCGCCTGGCTCCAGTCACACGAGCTGCTGTCGGCACAGCTCAGGCACGGCAAAACCCACGAGCCTGCACGCGCCCACCGGGAAAACACGGTCTCTGAGCTCACAGGCAGCATGGGGGAAATCAACGGTCAAATTCCCGTCGATATGAATCGTGCGGTGGCCTGCACGTCCAGAGACAGTCGTGCTGCCTCTCTCCCAGACATGCTTCTCGTCCTCAGTGATGGTGGGGACATCACACCTGGCGCAAATTGGAGGTGGCCTCTCAGCCTCCATTCCTGGGCAGTACAGTCGCCTCGCGTTCATACGCCCGTTTACGTAACGCGATTTTGAATAGCGTGTTGGATGAGTTGACACTTAGTTTTGTTATTTGCGCACTGTTGTTGAATTAACGCGCTGTGGCGCATTGGCCGTGATGTAGGGAACGTGCTGCGAGCTGATCCTTCATCAAGCGGCAAAGTTCAGTAGCAGTGCTGCTTGAGGTGTAGCAGCAGTATGACGACCATATGCGCGGGCAGCAGCATCAGTCAGCATCTCCTTCTCGCGTCCCATTTTGAAGATCTTGTCCGCATGAACTTTGTCTTGTGCACACGTTTGCCTACCAATGTCTGGTAATCGTGTTAAAAAAACTTTTTGTTGTACTTTATATATATTTCTTTTTCCTTTAAATAGGCTGTTACTATCTTGAATACACGTATGGTAGTATTGCAAATACCATACATAACATAACCAGTAAAATATGTAGATGTAAGAATGAGGTTCGAAAACATGCACACTTCTAACCACCAACCATTTAATTTACCTATTATGGGAAAATTACTTTAAATTTATGCGATTTCGAGTTACGTAAAACGAGAGGGCATTTGTAGTACCTTGCAAATCGAGACGGTAGCTGTACCTTATAAAAAGGTATAGTAGTCGTAGTACCTTGTCAAACGAGATGGTAGCCGTACCTTGTTCGTGTCCCTGGCAGGGGGGCCTCTGCTCATCGAGCTGTGCGGAGCCCCGGGGAAGTGGCCTCAAGCCACATGGCTGCCTGTCCCACAGCGCAAATGCACAGTCCTGCAATGGCACCAAAAGACAAAGATCCCCCGTATAGTCTTTATCAGACTTGGATGGAAGTGCTGATAGCGGATTGGGGTGGGTGGCCAGCACCACACCCGGCTGCCTTTGTCTCCCTCGCGGCAATGTTTACACATAGCATCAGGTACTAACTTGAGTCGACCTTGGGGAGACCCAAAACCCATTCAGATAATCGTCACTGGTGTTGGTCGTGAGCAGGAATCGAACTCAGGAGTTTATCAGCAGGTAGCAACAGGGCCAAGGTGGCACCGGTGCAGTGTGAGCACCCCCAATAGGTGAGCGTGGTTAAACGAGCACCCCCCCCCCCACATCCCCCAAAGTAACACAGAGGTGAGAACGCGACCCAACAGCAAACAGCATTTACCTTGTAGCTACGCGGACAGTCTACGTGTTGCGGATTGTGTCACTCCAATTTGAAGCTTCTTTAACAGGCTCACGTTTCTTCGGAGCACCGCCTTGAACCGTGCCAAAGGGGTACTGAAATTCACGCTGTCGCGTCACGGAGCTGCGCCGAGTGCTGGGTCTTTGTACGTAACAGTCAGGTTTGAGAGAAACGGTGGATTTTGTTTTTTTTCTGTCGCATTCTCAACATGGTGAGCAAAGTAGGGGCAGTGACATGGCCCGGCTGTTGTGCAGCCGCTGTTCATTCCAGCGATTTCACGGTTCAAATTACGGAAGGGCTGCCCTGATGAATACCGCGGATGTATTAAAGTGCCCCGTTGGCTCGACAGTGGACGACGTAGATCCCGTGATCTCATGCGAAACGAGGAGGCCGTTGTGTGTTCCGTTCACGGTCCAAATTTTCAAAGTCTAAAAAGTCACACGACAAATTGCTGAATTTGGGATCACGCGTGGCAACATTGCCCCCTCCATGTACGTGGTGAAACAGCAGCGAGCTTCCTTTGCCACGATCGCCTTGCGCTTATAACAATGGCGCGAAAACTGAAATGTAAATTATTATCATTGTTAAACTCCTTGGATAAACGCTGCTCCTTAGTTGCTTTTTCCATGCAGTACAACCATGGCCCATGTCTATGCTTAATAGAGTATGGGCAGGGAGGCCCAATCAGTCCAGAAAGCGTGGTAAGTTCAGTTCAGTTTATTTTGGTATAGCCCTGTGAGCCATTCGGCTCTTGAATCGGGTGCAACAACAACAAACAAAAAAACAAAAACACGAACAAGAAAAACATCTTAAAGTGACTATGTGACTGTGCAAACAGAAAATCCATGGAAAAAAACCAGCAAAAATATTCCTGAAAAAAGCACCGTACACCAACGCTGTGTGCAAAAATCCCAGTGGGATGCAAGTCAAACAACAACAACAACCACAAAAACTTATATTAAGGCCATCAGTCTAACTCCGTACTACAACAAAACAAACATATCCATACCAAAAAACGTTTTCCATATCACCAAAAAATAAAGCCATAATTGCAATGTAACAGTGAGCACAAGGACTGTGACCGAATTTTTACAATAAACTACATAAATAACATGTAACACCAAATCCTAGAGCCATAGCTGGCTGCATGAGTTACTCCACAACAACAGAAGCATCAGTCGGAGTATCAAATTTTTCAATGCACCTTTAAGATCAGCACGCTAAATCAAAATACAGATAATACTTTGCAGCGTCATCCGGAGCGAAACATTTTATTTTATTTTACGCCAATGAATAGCAGTGGCAGCTAGGGGTGTACAACTCTAGAGCAGTTTTGAGAGAAGATTTCATTGGTAGCGATTTAAGTTGCAGTTTATTGGCAATAGCATTCCAGACTCTGGGGGCATAAATAGCAAAGGCCCTTCCTCCAGTTTTTGTATGGCAATAGGGAATGTGAAGCTGGTAAATGAGCAAAGACCTGAGGTCAAATTTGTTCTTTGAAACAGAGAGGAGATCCAACAGGTAGTCTGCGGATTTTTTTGTAAGTACATCGTGAATAAATAAGATCTGGAGCACAAGCCGTCGAACATTAAGAGATGTTAAGTTTGATCCAATGTAGAGATCACAGTGGTGAGTCCTATATGGGCAGTTCAATGTAAATCTTAAGGCCGAGTGATAGATGGAATCAAGCTTTTTCAGTACAGTACTTGGGGCTGATTTATACACGATGTCACAGTAGTCAAGTAGAGGCAGTATGGTAGCTTTTATCAATTCCAAACGGAACATTGGGGGGAAGCAGTGCTTGTGTCGATACAGAAAACCAATTTTTATTTTTGTCTTTTTACCAATATAATCAATGTGATCTTCAAAATTCAGTTTTGAATCCAGGATGACCCCAAGATACTTATAGATCTTGACTTGCTCTATTTGACAATTATTTAAGGAATGTAATTGGGGAAAAATTACTTCCTGCTTTAGTCCTGGTGAGAAGCATAGCACCTTGGTTTTGGAGGTATTCAGGACTAGTTTAAGAGCAACTAGCTGATGTTGTAGTTTGTTGAAATCACCCTGTAGCTTAGCAATCACGTCATCTGGAGAGCGGCCAACAGTAATCAGTATCGTGTCATCTGCAAAAAGATTTACCCTGGAATGATCCAGGTCAGTGTCCAAGTCATTGACATAAAGAGAGAACAAAATGGGGCCGAGGATGGAACCCTGTGGAACCCCTTTTGTTATCTTAACACTGTTTGACCTCCAACCATCTGTAAATACAGTTTGGATGTGAGAAAAGAGGTAATTTTGTAACCATTTTACTGCGTTTTCGGAAAAACCGAGGCAACTTAGTTTACTAAGCAGGGTGTTGTGGTCTACTGTATCAAAAGCTTTGGACAGGTCTAGAAAAAGACAGGCACAGTACTGCTTATTATCAAGGCTACTGTAAATGTGATTCAGAGAGTCTAATGCAGCAGATGTGGTGCTGTATTTTTTTCGGAACCCAGATTTTTTAGATGTAGTAGATTGTTGGTGGACAGGAAACTGATAATTTGGTAGGTCAATAATTTTTCAAAAATTTTCATCAACGGGGACAAAATTGAGATAGGTCGGTAGTTATTTGGATCATCTTTAGGGCCCCCTTTGTGAAGTGGACGGACATAGGAATGTTTCCATTCTAGAGGAATTGATGCTTCTTTGATGGACAGGTTGAAAATATGGGCTATAGGTTTGTATATTAGGTGACCAACAGTTAGTAGAGCAAAGACAGGAATACTATCTGCTCCGGTAGAGGAGGACCCTTTATGGTAGGACAGTTGTTTCAGAACATTACTTTCGTGGATTGGCTGGAAACTAAATTCGTTTAATATTTGGACAGGGGTTTCGGAATTTGCATGAGCAGGGGTGACTCCCAATACATTATCAAAAAGATTACCAGCTTCAGAAAATGAAGGTTAAAATTGTCAACTATTTTTTGGGGATCTGAAAAATATTCCCCATTTCGGTTAAGCTCAACGGGCAGATTGTCTGTTTTGGATGCCTTTTCGATACATTTGATTGTTTTCCAGAAAATACTGGCATTTCCATGTGATTCCAGGAGAGTGGAGGAAAAGTAGGCATTTTTTGCATGCCGTATTTTTTTTACGCATCTATTCCTTAAAATCCTGTATTCTAGCCATCATTGACCAAATTACTTTTCTGAGCACATGCCCAAGCCTTGTCCCTAGTTTTCATGAGCTTTGTAATCAAAGGATCATACCATGGTGGGCGGTTGTCTTTAGTTTTAAATCTAACCAATGGAGCATGTTTGTTAAGAATTTGGAGAAACGTGTACCTGAAGGTCTCCCAAGCCGTAGTCAGGTTGGGGATATCACAGACCTTGTCAATATCCAAGTGAAGCACATCATTAGTAAATGCCTGAGTGCTGAAGTGTCTCATAGAGTGCTTCTCAACCAATTTAGGGGGGCTTTGGGTCTGGCTGATGATCTCACACCAAAAATGAAGGAGTGATCACTAAGGTTATTACCCAGAATACCAGTCAGTGTGAAATTGTGAGGGGCATTTGTCAATAGGACGTCAAGCAGAGAGGACTGTCCCGTATTTTTTAGATTGGGTCTTCTGGGGACATTTATTAATTGAAACAGGTTAAATTCATCGTAAAAAAATGTGGCCACGGCCGGCGGGTTTAGCCAATTCCAATTTAGATCACCCACTAAAACTATTTCACCTTTAGGGAGGCCCCCAAAAAGCTCTCTCAGTGCAGATGCAGCTTCAACATCCTTCCCACTAGGTGGTCTATAGCAGCACACTACCAATATCTGTTGATTTTTTGGAAGAGTTATTCTGAGAGCCAAACCTTCAAAGCAACATTTTCTAAACAAGGAGTGAGCTGGTGAATTGCCATCTATGTATTACGAACATAGATGGCAATTCCACCTCCTTTAGATCCTCGGTCAAGCTGAAAAAGCGTGTAGTTGTCAATCGTAATTTGCAAGTCATTGACGGCAGGAGTGAGAAATGTTTCTGTTAGGCAAAAAATGTCTGGGTCAAGATTTGCCACTTCTAATTTTAGTTGACTTAATTTAATCACAAGCCCTCTGATGTTGACATGTAGAACACCAACACCTTTCCTGCCAGAAAAATCTACAGAATTATAGGAGTTCTTTATATTTGAGCCAGGATGAAGCTCAATACCACCGAGAAATAAGAAAAGTAGAATTAATTGTTTGCACAAGTATTTTCTGTGAAAGGATGAAGAGCGGTTAACCTTGGATGAATAGCAGCAGCTCGCAGATGGTGTTATTTTTAAGAGCAGAATGAAGTTTGGAAGGAGTGCTGGTGAAGTAATGGGACAAAAATAGGGTTTAAAAGGATACAATGATGGAGTGTAGAAGTGTCTATGAGCTGTTTCATTTGCAGGTGTAGTGGCAAATCGAGCAACAAGTATGGACGCAAAGTAACGAGGGTAGCCGTTTGCAGAGTTGAGTGTGGCACTAGATATGGCCGGGAACGACAGTAGTATGATACACAGCAGGAGAATTGCCATCTTTAATATAACAAAGATCCACAACAGTTAAACACACAAGTGAAAAACGTACAGGTAGGCCGAGCGCGAGTAATGTCTTGCCGCACTCGTCGCACATGTACGGCTTCTCGCCCGTGTGCTTGAGTTTGTGGTGGCGGTCAGCTCCAGGTCACGAAGTTGACTAGGTAAGGGAACCAGGTAAGGAAATGCACATGCTCCCCTATCTATAAGTATATTAAAATACATGTGCAGGCTTTCAAGGGGAATAATAGGAACGTGATTAAAAAAATTACTGCGGCGAGTATGTTCCTCTGCTTACGTTGACAAAGGCAAGATTAATCGAGTTCCCATAACCAAACACCTCCACGCCATCAAAATCACGAAAAATCACACCACGTAAGGACCATGCTGTCGACCATGACCACACGGCCCTATCGAGCCAATGGGAGGGCGCGCGTCGCACAATCGTCAATGGCTGTTTGATTGAACGATGACGTCGTGTGCACGTTGCAGAGCCGCGTGCAAATTTACTTGCCCAGTGTTGTACCCCACAATGAATAGAGCAATTCAAGCAATACGGTGGCTGGCAACATTATTATTAGTGGCATTCAGCTTGTTTACCCAGGGAAGCCTGAACGAGTCTTTTGCTGAAGAGTCCTACCAGGGTTTTGCAGTAGTGGGCGATGTTGCTGCTTGTGTGTGACCACAATTAATTAATTTGCAAGTGATCTTTCAGCATTGAGATTTGTTTGGCCAATACCAGTTACAAACTGGAGAACCTGAAGAGGAACCGCTTGCAAAACAGGGGGAGAACGTATAAACTCCACGTAAAAAACGACTAAGTCGGGAATTGAACCCTTACACTTGGGGCGCCGCGGTGGCGAGATGTTGACTACCTCACCTGGTATGCAGGAGAACATGGGTTCAATCACGGCCCTGACGCCTGCTGTATATTTGGAGTTTGTGGTATCTCTCTCCCCGTGGTCGTGTGGATTTTTCTCCGGGTCCTCTGGTTTTTCCCTTCACATTTAGAATCAACATGTGATTAGAGTATTTGGCCGCTATACATTTCTACGTGATAATCTACTATGTAGAGATATCATTTGACGCCAAGTGGCTTCTGAAAAAGTGCTTTATAGCGAAGTGGGCTTTAATTTAAATAAAATAGCTTAGTTTATTTCTTCCTATGAGGCACAAGTGTTACAACTGCGCTGCCACGCTGCCACTCATCGTACAGGAAGCCTGTGTGCCATTTTAACGTTGGCATCGTTTCCCGTGCTCTTTGGGGCCGTCCATAAATGATGTCACGCGATTTTTTATGATTTTTGACACCCCCCCTCATCACACGGCGTCACAAAAAGTCAGACCCCCCCTCAAATATGACGTCACAAAGCTCTGCTCCCCCCCCCAAAAAAAACATGCTTCAAATCGCTTTAAACTATTGCCATTGTAGTGCGTATTTAATGTGGCGTTGCACTCTGATGTTGTGGGAGAAAACATTTATTAAAAAGTCTATTTAATTAAGTAGAACGTGTTGTCTATATTTATTTAAAGTTGCGCATTTTGATGTGACGTCATATTTCTAACCCCTCCCCCCCTCGTCTCACATCGTCACAAATATATGACCCCCCCAGGTGCGTGACGTCATTTATGGACGGCCCCTTTGCATCGCGATGGCAAAGTGATGGTGTCGCGCTGAGCTCGGGCACCTGCTGCAGGCCGCAGACCGTGCCGTTCCAGGGCCGAGTGAGGCTGGAGCTGGGCCGCGGGTCACGAAAAACGCGGAGAGTGTAGACCCTCGCGACGCCGCCCACTGCCATCACGAACACGTTGACCTGCGTCAGCCCCACGCCGAGCGGCCAGTGCGCAGCGCTGCAAGGCAAAGCGCACGGTCGGGGCCTCGAACCGCGCACGACGACGATGACGAGGGTCTCAGCGACCGCTGAGTAAAAAAGAAACATTTTGAATATAACCCGTTCTCAGAAAACGTAATTTTGACTGCCATCATAGCATGGCGTGCTAAATAATATCCAGATTTACATCGCTATGATCTGTCATAGACTGACACTTCTCTAGGTATCGCAAGATTACTCTGGTAACAACTGGCGAATTGACGGTACAAACGGATTGGCATTTCAGAGCACCCACTGCCTCTGACAAAGACCCCCTGTATAGCCTGAATAGACTGTTGGGGCAAGTGCTGTTAGTGAGCACCTATGAAGGTCAGCACGGCACACGAAGGGGAGGGTGGCCAACACCACGCCCGACCGACCGCCTTTGTCTCCCCAGTGACGATGTTTACACACCAAGTACTCATTTGAGGCTGAGTCAACCTAGGGGAGGCCCATGATCGGTTCAAATAATCGTCACTAGTGTTGGCCGTGAGCGGGAATCGAACTCGGCTCTCTGAGGTTCGTAGCGTGGTGTGCTAACCGCTACACTACCGCTCCTCATACTGCCTCTGACACAAACGCACACACTCACCCCCTGCTCACCCTCTGCGCCCTGTGCTCTCCCCGATGCGCACATGCTCCTCGCAGTGCCGGGGGCTTGCGACCAGGCGCAGGAGCAGCACGGGGAACGCCGCCCTGGCCTCGTAGCGGCGCACGCGCGGCTCGAACGGCGGCCACAGCTCGAGGGGCGGCTCCAGCGCCAGCGAGCCGAGCGTGCCCCGCGCCTCCGCGTCTGATGGCGCCACATGCACATGCACGCGCGTGCTGGTGATCACGAGCTCGTGACCACACGCACACACGCACGTGCTCGTGACCACACGACCACTCGCTGGTGACCGCGCACGTCGACATACGGCATCGCACGCACTGCGAATACGCAGGTGAACTCAAGCATGCGCGAAACGCCAAGTGATCATGCCAAGGGTTTGCGAGCAATTAATGTTTAAGAGAGTAGGCACAGGTTGACTAGGTAGACAGGGCACTGTGGCCAGCACCATGCGAGGTATGCCTTTGTCTTCCAGTGGTGACCCGAACACAGCAACATGGGGTACTGGCTTGAAAAAAGGTCGGTGATTTCCTACCAAAATGAGCAATGAAGCATCGGTGCTCATCTCCTGTCTGTAGTCCTGAAAGAGTGGTGGAAATTGCACATTCCTATGTGATTCCACATTTTCACATGACCGCCACTTTTGACTTCCCCACAAAACGCCACTCATTTTGTTGACCCCTCAGAGGGATGCTGGGCCGGGTCAACCCCCAACCAGGAATTGAACTCGCAACCTTCCGATCACGAGCCGCTCTCGCTCTACCTGCAAGCCACCCAGCCGGTTAGACCGTCACGGCGTGCGCATGTGCACGTTCACGTTTTGTTAAAACGCTCTCGATGTTCCCTGTGAGTTCATGCTGCCCGTGGGCAAGGGCACACGGCAGCGAGAGGGCCACCGCAACTCGCATGCACCAACCCTCTCAAGAGCGAGCAGACGGCCCTGAACGGCACAGCAGTGTGAGCGTCCCGAGAGCAGGAAGCAGAGAAAGGGCTTGAGGTTCCAGTGGAGTGACAGGCAAGCACGAGTGCGCATCTAGGAAGGAGAGAAGCACAACAATGCCGCAGCGTTGAGACCTTCGCTGTGGCGGCAGCGCCGCAATCGCCACGGTTACGTCAGTGAATCATGCTGCGGAGGGATTAGGAGAGCTGGACACACGGCCTTCGCAGAAGCTTGTGAAAGACGAATTAAAGTTATCCAAGATCAAAATGTCGTCGTGGCCAAAGCTGTTCAAGCCACCGCACCTTGCCCCTCCGCCATATCCCGCAGCCCCTGTAGAGGTAACAAACGCGACCTCCCAAGATGTGCCCTGACAGTCTCCTACCGACTGGCCTTAGGTCTTCACCTTGGTAGCTAGGGCCCGTGGAGACGGGTTACAATGTCTGTCTAGGCATTGGGCCCTCCCCGTCCTGCTGCACGACCCCATCCAGCGCAGCTGTTTTTGCCATGCGATGGTTTAAGTATTTAGTGGGGCAGTGGGGGGAGAAAGGCAGGGGCGGTTAGGGCTGGGAGGGGGGCAGCGATATCTGAATCTACGTTGGTTTTATTTTACAAGGAAAGGCCCACTGAGCAATGTAGCTGGTTCTCAGATGCGACCTAGCCACAAATGTTAGCTCAACGAAGTGACTTATCATGTAAAAATGTATAGCAGCCAAATACTCTAAATGCATGTATCTTAATGTGGAGGAAAACATTGGAAGACCCGGAGAAAAATCCACGCGAACATGGGAAGAACATGAAAACTCCAACTATACAGGCGTCAGTATCGAGATCGAGCATACGACCTCCTTCATACTAGGCGAGGTTGTTAACATCTCACCACCGAGGCACCCTGTGGTGACGAGTCTGTACTGGTTCTGCCCCTACCAAGTTCGCTAAACAATTGGGATATATCTGTGGGAGAGGCACAGTTCGAGAACATTTACCAAGGCGACGTGGTGCTGTGGGTTGTTTGGCTGTCTCTGAAACAGACAAAACTGGGTGCAAGTCCTGCAGTGGACCCTCTGCGCAATTACTTAGCAATATTTGCGTGGCCACATGCGCGTGGTGCAGAGGCTTCAGGCCCGTGAGGTGAACCCAGAGTCAAAAAGGGGGGTGAGGTTTGCATCCCGGCAATGGCAAGCGGACAGATAAAAACTGGACACGTGGCAGAGACAACACAGGGCAAGGTGTTAAAAAAGAATTAAAGCTTTCGTGACTGCATAAATTACTCATTGTTTTTTTCGATAAAGTCACGTATGTAGAAATACCATAAAATTATATTAAAATAAATCAATCACGACGTTTCGACCGCAACTCAAGCGATCTTCATCAGGTGTAAAAAACAAATAGCACATAGGGTGACATCAACGCAACACATAGAGAGCGTTAAACTGCACGGAGGTGAATACAACAAGAAGATGAGAGACGAGAATTCAACAAACCTAAGAAAAATTTTACGTGATGCAAAACTAGTCGGCCAACGACACAGTTAGACACTTGCCTGGCAGACCACGAATTTCAGAAGAGCGCTAAATTTCGTGTTCATCCTCTGGGTTGAACATACCAGCATAGACAGAGTGAACAAATACGAGGTACAAGATAGCAGAAATACATATACAGGGACACAAGAGGTAAGAAGAGGAAAGACGGACAGAGAAGAAAGAAAAAGGGGCCGGAGGGATGAACAGGCAGAGACTTAAAATAAGCAGAAGAGGTGGGGGGAGGGGTCGAAGAAAGCAAGGGGCACGGCAGCAGCAGAAGAGGGGGGAGGGGCAGGAAAATGTACCTCGTATTTGTTCACTCTGTCTATGCTGGTATGTTCAACCCAGAGGATGAACACGGAATTTAGCACTCTTCTGAAATTCGTGGTCTGCCAGGCAAGTGTCTAACTGTGTCGTTGGCCGACTGGTTGTGCATCACGTAAAATTTTTCTTAGGTTTGTTGAATTCTCGTTTCTCATCTTCTTGTTGTATTTACCTCCGTGCAGTTTAACGCTCTCTATGTGTTGCGTTGATGTCACCCTATGTGCTATTTGTTTTTGACACCTGATGAAGATCGCTTGTGTTGCGGTCGAAACGTCGTGATTGATTTATTTTAATATAATTTTATGGTATTTCTACATACGTGACTTTACCGAAAAAACCAATGAGTAGGGCAAGGTGTGTTAACAGAGGTGTGAGGATACAGAGCCCGTGGTGGAGATGGAGAACCTTCAGAAACCTTTTTTTGGGTAGAGGGAGGGAGTTGAAGGAACCAGAACACCGGTAAAGAGAGCATGGACAGGAAGTAAAAATTTGAACGAGAGAGACATTTTTCAAATTATTTTGCACGATTCTAATAGTTTATTTGACCCAGATAAACGACTCATGAGGCCGTGTTTCAACCTTGAAGGTGTAAGCAGTGGTTTAGTGGCCAAGCCAGGGCGATACCAACGATAGCGATCGCAAAGTGCGGTGAACACGGCGCAGCTTTGTTGGAGATGGCTGTGAAAACCGATGTTTCCGTCATAATGGTTTCAAGAGCAAATTCAACGATAAAACTTCGTTTACTATCAAAATGGAGGGACTAAAACTAAAACAAATGACAGAGAAACGAATGCCCGTTGACTAACGTGGAGGAAAACCGGAATGGTCATCGGGCTAACATTGAGAAATGCCAATAAGATTACCTGGGGAAACCGGAATTCTGAACATCTAGCTATGAAGCTATGAGCTTCATAGCTGATTGGCTTCCTCCAATCTAAATAAAGATTCTGATTCTGATTTCCATGTCGGTTTTTTATCAATGTCTCGGTTTGCGAGAGCTCTTAGACCACACACCATCAGTTTTAATTGGTTCATGATGAAATTTACGCACATTCTGTGCGAGCGTGCGTCAAGGAGACACAGCATAACTCTGACACGTTGAACACTGGGCGACGGTATGGCAGAGATTAACAGAGTTGCGTTCGGCCTTCGCAAGGAGTGAACGATGAAACGCAGCGGGAATGCGTCACCCACGTTCGTAGTTGCGTTCACTTCCCCGTGATGCCCCCCGTGTCATGTTCACAGGATGGGCCGGGGGTTCAACGTCGAGCTGGGCTGTCGGGCGGGCGAGCCTCCACGGTTTCGGGGATGCCGTTTGTAACGTGGAAATTAAGGTTTGCTTTTGTGTGTGCGCACAGCTCTTGTCAACAGCATGTGCGCAGCGATCACTCGTCGGACTTGCGGTGGCTGCTTTGTCCTCGACCGCATGCCATCGGCGTTTCCGTATGCGGTCAGACGCGCTGCTGTTCCCGCAAGCTGCTGGGGTCAAGAACTGTATTCCGTAATTCTGACTGCATTATATATCAGTAATGACCACCGTTTTTGTGGTAGGAATGCCATTGCAAGGTTTTTACTGATATTAAATGCACCTTAGGGGACAGCACAGTTACACTGAAGATCATCACCGCATCATGCCGAAAACGTTTGTCTAAAAGTAACACATCGACAGAAACATTGTTGGTCCACAGCTCCTTACATTTACGATTGCGGTTTAAATATTTGGACGTTTTTCCATCGATCACTTCACATCAAACACCTACCATTACTGCAGTTGCTTCTCAGCTGTTCATCTGTAACACAATACAAGCACAGCATTGGTTACCGTTGTTTGAAAGAAAGTTTACCAAAAAAATGCAAATACGTAAAATACACTTGAGCGCAACTGTAATGTTGGCAACGTTAAATAATCTTTCATAGCATTGTGTAACCTGCATTGGTGACATAGGCCTGGAGGCGATGGAGTCAGCCTAAGGTATGTTGAACTTCTTTCGCACCATACATAGCCAACCATTGTTAATCAGAGATGCAAAAATGTGCGTAGTCGGCAGGATGATGAAGTTGAATGCTAACAAGGCCTTCATACAGCAAATCATTTCATTTATGTGTAGGGGTGTTATGGGGAAGAAACACACGGTGTGGGAAGGTGAGGCACAACCACACCTTGGTGGCTACAACCACGTCCGCTATGGCTCCACCCTCAGTGGAGTATGGGTATAAAGGGCGGAGAGCCAGAGAGCTCGGGGCAGTGTGTTGGGGCCAAGAATGAAGAGCCAGGGAAGAAGGAAGGCCGGCTAGGATAGACCCTGGGACTCCTTTGACCGCTGTCCTTTTCAGGGCCGGCACGGCAAGCCAGTGGTGCGGCCCCAGAGCCCCAGAGCCGAAGTCCTTTTAAGGGCCGGTCTGGTTGGTGGGGTGCCGAGATCTGTGTCTGACCAGGGCCAGATCAGATAGCCTCCTCTAGCGCCTATAGCTGGAGGAATCGGGAGCCTAGGGCTTAGGCTAAATAGCCTGGGGTTACCCCTGAGTGTATACGGGTGAAGGGGCCGCTACCCCTTCCAGTGTGACCCCTTGTTCAATAAATAGTACTGCCTCTACTCTACCGTCTCCGTGTACTGGGAACCCACTAGGTATGTGTAACGGATCTGCGAGCCATCCTCACGCACTCGCACCACGCAGACATGAAATCTCCGCACTCAGCATAGCACGTACCAATCACACGCGCGGGAATACACTAGACGGGGATCAAGGATTAAAGGGCACTGACGTCATACGGACCCGGTGAACGAGACCAGGAGGATGTAGATTGGGAACGAGGGCGGGAATAGGTGGTTTAAAAGGGGCTGTGAGACGGATGTTCGGGGTTGGTTTTAGGAACGAGTGTGGCTGTGGGTTGAAGAATAAACCAGTGCATAAACCAGTCTCCGACTCCTATTCATGTGGTGGCAGCGGTGGGATGTCTCGCCTCAGCCGACGCAAGATCCCAAGGGGGGAGACTCAGCCAGAACATGCTCTAGGTGCCTGTGACAAGATTTTCTCAGAAACGGAACCGACGAATCGGGATTCGTCCCCCGGCTCATCAACGGAATCCGTAGCAGCTGCTCGTCCCTATGTGGGCACCTTCCTCCACCAACCCGGCGGTGCAGACCCAGCGCCGCCGCCGCAGATCATCCTCTAGGGATCGGAGGATGGATCAGCTGCTGGAGGCAGTCACTGTGCTGCTTCGCCGGCTGGGTCCTGAGGTCGAACGAGCGGGGGGAACTTCAGCCACACCGCCTTCCCAGCAAGGGGACGGGAGCCACGGCCAGCCTTCCCGACCAGGCACTCCGCAGCATCTATCGGGATGGAGCAGCATCAGCGATGCCGCCGACTATGCGTCCCGCGTGGGACCTGGGAGAAAACTTTGGTCTATCCTCCCGATATCCTCCGACAGTAGCGGCAACTGGGGGAAATGAACAACTGGAACGCAGTGGAGAGCAGCTGACCGGGCAAGGGGCAAAGACACAGGTCGGGAGCGAGATTCAGCCCAAAACTCAGCCGAGGCAGACCGCGGAGGGAGGACCAAGATGGAGCTGCCAGCTGGGCATGATACAGAGGTTCACGTCCAGATCGGGAGAATGGCGCGCTTTCATTCGCTGGTTTGAGACGGCCGCCCGGGCAATGACGTGGACGGAAGAACAAGCCCTGACAATGCTGCCCACTGTGCTGGACGACCCCGCACTGGCAGTGTTCGACCGGATTCTGCCTGAAAAAAGAGGATTCCTGCAGGGCGTCTACAAGGAGATGGCGGAGGTGTTCGACCCTCCATCCGGGGTGTGCCAGAAGTTTAAAAACCACCAGCGGGAAGCATCCAAAACGCTCCTGGTCTTCAGGACAGAATTGGGGACGATTCTGCTAGATAAAAGAGGATTCCTGCAGGGCGTCTACAAGGAGATGGTGGAGGTGTTCGACCCTCCATTCAGGGCGTGCCAGAAGTTTAAAAACCGCCAGCAGGAAGCATCCAAAACGCTCCTGGTCTTCAGGATGGAATTGTTGACGCTGGCAGAAGCCGCATTCCCGCAGCTCAACGAGCCGGGCCTGGACTCGCTGGTGGCGGAGCGGCTCCTTGCCATGGCACAGAAGGTGGGAGTGGTGGAGGAGGAAGCCCGCACCTCGCTATGGGTTGCACAATATCTCTGCGCTTATGAAGAGATGGCGGGACCCACGCGAAGTGTGGCACACATCGCATGGGATCGCGGTGACGTCGAGGGGCTGCCACGGCCCCCAACCAGACACGCGCCGCCGGCGGAGGACGAGGGAGAGACGGTGGCGGCCCTGTGGCAGTATCCGAGGATCCCGCGGGAAGCGGAGCGCCGACCCCGGCGCTGGGCACCTCGCGAGGCAGGAGAGCATCCTCGGGTCACCAAAGAAGTTATCTGCCATCACTGCGGTCGTGAGGGACACATCGCCCGCGGATGCCATAGCAGGATGAGTGCACCGGGGACGACCAGCCGGGATAGTCAGCCTCGGTCCGCGTCCGTTCCAACTCAGGCGAGTGCTGACACCTTGGACACCCGGCCAGAACCATCCACCCCAGGTTCCTCGGGGGCGGCGGCTAGGATTCCAGCTTTCGCTCCGGGCCCGTGGCCGGACACGGTTAATAAGTGGCGTCGGTTGGCCAGAAGGGTGGTGGCTCAGTGGCATGGATTAGGGTCCGCGTGTTGGTTGACACGGGTGCGTTGGCCAGCATCATATCCCTGCGCGTCTTTGACTTGTTACCGGAGGGACAGCGTCGTCTCGTGTCAGTTCAGGCCAGGTACATAGCCACAAATGGGGGAAGTATGGGGATAATAGGCCAAGTGGTAGTGCCGGTCCGTATCGGAGAGCTGGAGGTACATGCTCCGGTACTGGTCTCCAGCGTGTTCACGGTTCCCTGCTTGCTGGGAACTGACCTATTGAGTCACATGCCCCTTCGCATTCTGACGGACGAAGGCTGCGTCGAAACCCCGTGACGAGCAGGGTGCGATATCGAAGCAGCACCAAGGCCTGCGCACCAGGTGGGATCGAGACCGTAGTCCCGACCAGCGAGTTTAGGCGCTGGTTGGGACTACGGTCTCGATCCCACCTGGTGCGCAGGCCTTGGTGCTGCTTCGATATCGCACCCTGCTCGTCACTTGCCGGTCGGATGCGTTGCTCATCATCTCCACAGAACCATCAGTGGTGGGTCACCATTGCCTAGCAGCAGCTAACACGCTCGTGCGCAGGAATCAGCCACTCATCCTGCAGGTCCTTAACATGGCTGACAAACCCATTACAGTTCAGGAAGGGACCTTGTTTGGAAATGTCAGTCCCATTCATTCGAACCCTGAGGCGCAGACCGTCAACAATGTGCATTTGGACAGTCCATCGGTTGGCACAGAGGATATGTCATGGATAGACGTGCTCCTGGCACAGAACACCAATCTGTCGGCAATAGAATTGGGGGAGCTCAAGACTTTGTTGTGTGACTTTGCATCCCTACGATGTTGGTCGCACGATGCTGTTGGAACACCACATTGATACGGGCGATGCGCCACCCATTCGGCAGAATGCCTATAGGATGGGTCCTAGCGAGAAGGAGCATGTGCAGCGGGCAGTGCAGGAGATGATGGCGTCTGACATCATATCACCATCTACGAGTCCGTGGGGGGCGCCGGTTGTATTGGTTAAGAAATCGGATGGATCTTTGCGGTTTTGTGTAGACTTCAGGTGGCTGAACAAAGTTACCTTGGCGGACGCCTACCCACTCCCACGCATAGATGACTCATTGGATGCACTCGCAGGAGTTAACATTTTCTCCACACTGGACCTTTTTGGGGGATTCTGGCAGCTACCACTAGATACCAAATCCAGACCAAAATGGCTTTCAGAACGCCTCAAAGTCTCTTTCATTCAGCTGTTTGTCGATGGGTTTACAGACGGCTCCCACCACTTTCCAGCAATTGATGGAGCTGGTACTTGTGGGATTGCCGAGGGAGTCTGGACGATGTAATCGTATTTGCTCGCACATTCGAGGAGCACTTAACCCGGTTGCGACAGGTATTTTCGAAAATTCGTTATGCAAAGCTCAAGTTAAAACCCTCCAAGTGCCATCTGGTTCGCTCCTCCGTAAAAAAAATACTTGGGTCATGTCGTTAATGCGTCGGAAGTCGCGACAGATCTCGACAAAATGGCTTGCGTCCGTGATTGGCCAACACACACGTCCGTGCCTGAAGTCCGCAGATTCATGGGGTTTGTATCCTATTACCGCCGTTTTGCGAGAACTTTGCTACCATCGCTAAGCCCTTGCATGCGCTCACGGCGAAGGGACAGTCGTTTCGTTGGGGCCAGGCAGAGACCGACACGTTCTTGACACTGCGCCAGCGTTTTACAGAAGTGCCGCCCCTAGCATAACCCGATTTTTCGATTATTTTCCTGCTGGATACGGATGCGAGCGACGTGGGCATTGGGACCGTTCTCTCCCAGATACAGGAGGGGAGAGAGGTTGTCATTGCCTACGGAAGTTGTGTTTTGTCGCAGGGCGAGTAGTGGTATGGTGTTACGCGCCGCGAGATGCTTGCCGTCGTCCACTTTGTTCAGCAGTTTCGGCTCTACCTGTACGGCCGCGACTTCACTGTTCGGACGGATCATGCGGCATTGCAGTACTCACTCCGCATTGACCAAGCGACCGGTCAGATGGTCCGATAGTTGGAGCGGCTGCAAGAGTACACGTATCAAGTGGTGCATTGGAAAGGAATCAGGCGTACGAACGCCGATGCATTGTCCAGAATGGCAGCCCCTATTAAGTATGCCTGCGGCGACGGATCCACGCGCTGTAGACCGCCGGCCGTGGTGCAACCCGAGATCGTGGCGCCGGTTTCCGCTGGGGACATGGACCGGGCGGGGCCGCCGGTATCGCTTGATAGCGAGGGGGCTCACCCTGCAGGAATGGAGGGAACGGTAGCAGGCAGACGTGGCTTTAGCACCGCCTCGCCGGCTGGCGGAGACGGCACGCACTGACGATCTCCCCACGTCACGGAAGTTTTTCCTCATGTGGGAAGGCTTGTTGATGCACTGGGACACGACTGTGAACCGTAAAGTCCTGGTGGTGCCATCTTCTCTGCGGAGTAAGCTATGCTCCGATGTTCATGCCCGACAGTTGCTCCATCTCGGTAGCCATAAGACCGAGGCTGCGGTATGCCTTCGCTATTTTTGGCCAGACATGTTCGCCAATATCTGCCGTGGGGTATCGGTGTGCGCTGACTGTGCGCGCAGGAAGCCCCCGCCGGTCGTGCGGAGCGCCCCCCTACAGTCCATGAGCTCGTGGCCCTCGATATATTGGGCCCCTTCCCCGCCACTCCTCGAGGAAGTAGATACCTACTGGTGGGGATGGAGTACTTACACGCTGGCCCTTTGCCCACCTGTTGGCCGACCAGACTGCAGCGTCCATAGCGGACGCCTTTGTAAATGGGTATGTCGCTGACAAGGGGGCTCCTGAGCGGCTGCTGATGGACCAGGGCAGAACATTTTCCTCCAAGCTTTTGCAGGAGGTGTGAGACATGCTGGGTGTCAAGAAGGTGTGGATGTCCCCTTACCACCCACAAATGGACGGGATGGTAGAACGCTTTAACTGCACCATCTCAGGGATGCTGTATCACTTGTTCAATGACCAGCAGACGGACTGGGATTTGCACATCCCTGGGGTTTTGACGGCCTAAAGCTCGGCGCCACATGTATCAACGGGATACTCACCCTTTTTCTTGATGTATGGACGCGAGCCGAGCCCTCCGATTGAGGCACAGTTGCGCCCTGTCCCGTCGCGTTCGGAAGATTGGCCAACTGCGTTCCGCCACTCGCTCAAGCATTTGCACGAAGCTCACAATGCGGCCTTGGCAGCATCCGAGTCTGTGCAAGCTACGAACGAGCGCTTGCAGGCTAAGCCGCGGGTCGTGGATCCCTTTGCAGTAGGTGACTTGGCTTGGCTGCACTGCCCGCAGGTACCGTTACGTACGTCAGCGAAACTGCACCGGCCCTGGCAGGGCCCGGTCACAGTGGTGCAGGTATTGCGACCTCAACGTGTTCGCATTCAGTTGGGAAAACGTAGGTGGTACGTTCACCCCTCGATGCTAAAACGTTACGTCGTGGCCGAGCTGCCCCTACAAGCATCGTCACCTTCACCACCTTCATCGTCAGTTTGGCTGGGTGGGAGGAGGTTGTCACACTCGCGGCCCGCTACGCGTCCGACTGACAATGCAGCCACTGTCCATGCTGCAGAACTACAGGTGACCAGGACGCCAGCACCAGATCCATCGGTGTCCGTGGCTGAAGACGCAGCCGCAGCATCGGCCGAGGACTTGGCCACAGAACGGGGATCCTTAACCCGCTCAGGCTCACGCCACCTCGTTGCAGCTGTGGACACAGACATCCCTGCAACCCTGTTGTGTTCGGTCGAGGGATCGGATCGAGGGGGAAGTCTGCGACAGAGGCGGCGCACTTGTTAACAAGAGGAGAGAGAAGTAATTGTGTTGTGTTACTTTTGCCTTTATTGCACATTTTGTTGTGTTACTTTGCCTTCATTGCACTTTTTGCTGTTGTTGAAATTACAGGCGCCCGGCCGCAGTTGGCTTTGACCGGCCGAGGCACACAATTGTTGAGCCGTGGACGGCTCTGTCTCAAGGAAGGGGGGGGGGGGGGGTGATGTGAGGGATCTTCAAGCCATCCTCAAGCACTCGAACTACGCAGAGATGAAATCTCCGCACCAATCACACGCACGGGAATACACTAGACGGGGGTCAAGGGTTAAAGGGCACTGAGTCACATGGACCCGGCATGCGAGACCAGGAGGATGTAGATTGGGAACGAGGGCGGGGATAGAGTATTTAAATGGGGGCTGCGAGACGCATGTTCGGGGTTGGTTTTAGGAACGAGTGTGGCTGTGGAATGAAGAATAAACCAGTGCGTAAACTCGTCTCCGACTCCTCTTCATATGTATCAACTTTATTTATTAATTTCGTATGGCAGGAGAAAAAAGAAACCCTTTTGAAACATGCAAAAGTTGAATGCTAAGTTTTTTTCTTCCAATCAATGCAACGGCAACGAGGTAGTAGATGCTGTTGTAGCTGTTGCTGTAGCTCTAGCTGCCCCTGAAGCTGTAGCTGCTACTGCTGTAGCTGCTGTAGCTGCTACTGCTGCTGTAGCTGCTGCTGCTGCTGTTGCTGTAGAAGTAGCTGTTGCTGTAGCTGCTCCTGTAGCTACTGTAGCTGCTGCTGTAGCTACTGCTGATGGCGATGATGAAATGTGTCGGTGTAAATAACGTACTCGCTGTGTAGGTGGTTGCACGTTGTGCTGCCTTGCCGGTGGCTGCGTCGGGATTTCTCGGCCCAGCTGGACTGGCATCTGCCTTGCCAGTGGCTGCATCAGGTGTTCCTGGCTCTGCTGGACTGGCATCTGCTCGCTTGGAGCCATGCTGCGTCTGCATCGCACTGCCCCTGGAACAGGACGAGCGTGAGTGATGTCATCATCAGTGACGAGATTCACAGTTGCTCAGTTGCGAGCAGAACTTAACACACAAAATAAGTCTGAAGTCTCAATGGATGTACAGATGGCTCAGTGCTGGAGCAAGCGGCTCGTAAAGTGAGAGGTTACGAGTTCAAATTCGCGGTTGGGTGTTGAATCAGCCCATCGTCCCTCCGGAATCAATAAAGATTAAAACCACTTTTGCAGGGAAGTCGACAGTGGTTGTGCTCACCCACTCATTTACCCACCCACTCACTCACCCGCCCACCCGCTCGCTCACCTGCCCACCCGCTCACTCACTCACTCGCTCCTTCACCCACTCATTCCGTTTATATGCTCACCTGCGCCATAGGAATGTGGAATGCGATTTGTGATCAGGAGATAAGCGCATTTGATGGGGGGGAGGGGGGGTGTGATTGCTGAGACAGAAATGGTCTCCACGAGTCCGGCGACCATGGGGAATACTCGTGCCCAGACGATAACATGTCTACTGAGCGGCAGCTGCGTTGTCTGACGGGAGGGTAAAACTATTAAACTAAACAATTTTATTTTAACACAAATGACGAAGTGGCTTATCATCATGTGGAAATGTATAGCAGCCAAATATGGAGGGAAAAAGCGGAGGACCCGGAGAAATATCCATGTGACCCATGGGGAGAGACACGTAAAATCCATATATACAGCAGGTGTCAGGGTCGGTGTCGAACCCATGGCCTCCTGCACACCAGGCGAGGTAATTAACATCTCGCCACCGCATGTGCCTCCCTATTTCCACACACAACGCACGGATCGCAACCGTGCACCTCTATGCGCTGTCTGTGAAATACACGTAGTGCTCTATGATCATTATTATTACACAACCATGACAGGTGGGGATCCATTAAGACCTATTTCAGTCTCAGGACTCTTTTTCATCAGGATCCTGCCTGATGAAAAAGACCTCCTATATACCAGGCGAGGTAGTTAACATCTCGCCATGGCAGTAGGAAGTATTGGCGAGGTGCGGTTGGCATCATCAGCTTTGCGCCACGACGGCACCCTTGATGTGTGAGCACGCTTGGCCAGAGCACTGCACACGAGAGCCGTCTCCGGGCAGGCCGTTGTGGGGGTGCACGTTGCCTGCGAGCGCCAAGCGAAGGGGCTGTCGGGGCGGAGAGCTTCGCTTGCAGGTCCTCCCACAGCTGGGCAGGCAGCCGGTCAGTGGCGTACGACGGTGGGAAGGGCGGTTCGTGAGAACGGTGCTGGAGGGTGGAGCGAAAGGCGTTCAACTCCGGCAGAGACGATGGGAAGAGCTGGGGGGACACGACAGTAAAAGTAAAAAAGGCAGAGGTCCTTCCTTTAGGCTGATGAGACGATCGGAAAGAGCCTATTAAGGTCTACATCACACACCCTTACCACCTTTTATTCCCCTAACAAGGCTATCAATGTGTTAGCCATACATTACTTACTGGAACTTTTGCCAGTGCAGCTCCACTCCAAGACTATGGAAAGCGTTGGCCTCTGAAAATAAGACAATTAGAATCTTTAGCACTATTTAAATCTGCCCCTGATAAATCACCTCTTGAAAATTGCCTTTCCCCCCATAGTTTTGGTCGTTTACCGCTGGCTTTGTCTTATTTCCCTGCTTTCCATACATGGTGGCGCATTGGGATCCTGGGATGAAATGCGCCTTACAAATGTATATTATTATTACGACCATTGACGCTGATACACCGTCCCAACGCTGATGCACCGACGCTCACTTTAGACAGCGGATGGAGGCGAAATGCCAGGCTACGCTCAGATACCAATCGGCCACGGTGTGCACGGCAAGGAAATTAATGAAGGTCACCAAGATCACGGCACAGCGGTGCATGCCGTTTGCACATATAAGGGCGCACCAATAAACACAGTATTACAGCGTGCTGGAAGTGACATCGGGAAAGAGTAAACCATGCATTGGAGGACGCGCACACACACGTACGTTCGTAAGATCCTTCAAACTGTCATGAAAAGCGGGTCTTGGGTAGAACACGTCACGGCTTGCTGGGGATACAGTGGCCGAGAAGAGTCGCGATGGAACGCCAGCCAAGGGGGAGATGGACCGATGGAATTAGACCGTGTGCGGGTGACAGGTGCGTGATGAGTGGTGTGTGATGAGTGCTGCGTGTGTAAGCGACGCGTCTGCACGTGGCTACAACTGTGTGATGAGTGATGCGTGCGTGTGTGTCTGCGTGTGTGTGTGTGTGCATGCCCGGTCACCGCATGCCTAAACAGCTTTTGTTCGGCCGGATCGAGGGGGCTAAATGGGCATGGCAAGGGCTAGAGAAGAGATGGAGTGATTTGGTACAGGAGGACGTGGAGCTGAGTGGACTTGCCGATGACTGGTACCAGCGGTGTCAAGATCGGCCTCTGTGGAGGAGGCTCGTGAAGGACGCTACTGGGCAGTTGGAGGTAGTCGCCCTCCAACAACAACAGAGGGCGGAGGAGCGACGCTCACAAAAACGAGCGTAGCGCCGGGTGGCTAAAGCATAGCAAGTTGGCACAGTGGGGGGCACAGGTGGTTCATCAGCCAGTCATCTCAGTCAGTCAACCCGTGGCACCTGGGTCTGCCCCGTGACCTCCTGCCAGCAGGCGTTCGACAATTCATGTGGCCTCAAGGTGCACATAGCCTGGCACAAGCGTCGTGGTGACGTCACTGCCACTTAGTGGCGAATGGCGGTTGTTGTTGGTGTCGTGAGTGCTCTCACCAGTTTGAAGCGTCCCGAGTGTTGGCTCTCGCTGTGCGTGTCCACAAGAAAGCGGAGGTCGTCTCCCGTTAGGCATGCACTCTGCTCCGCGTTGCAAGACTTGCTCTGCACCGTGGGGGTTCGTCACAACGGCAAATAAAAACGAAACCAATGGACAGACGTTGGTAAACTTGGCATCTGCTCTCGACAACACGGTGGGGAAATATCACCAACAAGCGAGATGTATTCACGACAGTAAGAAGATCAATGTCAAACAGCAGCGCATGCAAATTTAAAATAATAATGTCAACTTGTAACACTGCAGTGTATTCGCTCGTAGAGAGACCGACTTAGGGGCCAGAAGGTAGCCACGTGACGAGCTGGTGCCAACAATTGTCGAAGCTCGGCTTATTCAGAACCCGAGGGACCGAAGAGACCCTAGGGAAACACTCAATTCCGTTGAGTTGCTGCTGTTTTTGCTTTGTGCACGCAGTGTCACAAATTATTCGTCGTATTCGCAGCCTCGTGACCCTGCTCTCCTGGATGAGTTATGAACAAAGTTTCAATCCCGTTTGAACACTGGGGGCATTTCGACTTTGCGATGACGACAATCTCCTTGCTGTCGCCGAAGGACTCATTTGCCGGATGTCGACCGGTCCAAATTGTTGTCAAGAGCACTGCATTCAGTGCACCCCCCTTCCCCCCAAACAAGCATTGGGCAGTGCTCAACGCGAGTGGCAGATCACGAGCCAGTGGCGGGATTCCATACCCTCATGGAGAGCATCGTACTCTCTGCTGGATAACCACCACGAACAACCAAAGAGGTTGCTACTCGTGCGATTGTTGCCCAAAGACAATGTGGCTGGATTGACTACCTCAATGAGATTGAGCCCACCACAGCTCTGCAGCATGGGTGGGTTGGGTGGGGTGGGGCTGAGGGTGGGGAGCGTGGGACACACAAGCCTGTAGCCCAGTCGTTGTGAACGAAGCGAGGCAGCGCTGCCCGGTGACTCGACGGGACGGGGGGGCAAGGAAGGCGCCGGCACCTCTACCCGGCTTAGCCTGGGCACAGCGATTCACTTGCGCGCTGGGAGGCGGCGGAGGCGAGCCGTCGTTTCACCTGAGGCTCAGCGTCCACCCCGTGGCGCTCCAGGATCTCGCGCACGTTGCCCGCCAAGGCCTCGCCTACACCGGCGGTGGCGGCGCACAGCAGCGAGGCAGAGTCCCGCAGGACAGCCTTATAGGCTGGGGTCTCCTCTGAGCGAGCGGCCCCACGCCCTGGCGCATCACCCGGTCCTGGCGGGGAGCTCGCGGCGCGTGGCCTCCGAGCTACGTGAAGGCTTGGGTGGCCGTTCACCTGCACAACGCATGACGCGACAGACGCCAGCACGGATATCCAACATAAGGAGGAGCAACGCTTGGGAGTGCGCCGGGAGACAGAGAGAGGGAGACCAGGATTAGAGAATGCGGCATTCGTGTGGCATCGGAGAGAGCATGATGAAGATTCTAATACCATGAATGCTTTTTTGTGGAGTTGTTGGGAAATGTACATACACACGTACACACATACAGACGTACATCTGTTCATCAGACTGGGGCCTGTGATCAACTCAATTCATGGGCGGGGGAGGGGTGGGGGGGTTTATTAGTCCATGGCATCTTAACACCAAGGCAGAATATCGCCACCCTAACCTGGGATTGGTTTTGATTTGCAAAAGTAGAGTTGCACTAAAGACTTTCCGCAGCATGGCTCCTGCAGAAAGTTACAACTAAAAACTGATTCCACCTCATTATATAATTTGATCAGAAGCCCGGTCAGTGGTAACCAGGACGAGCAGGGAAGATGGTTAAGGGTTTCTAAGTATTTTGGAGTATAAACAACAGAGGCGGAGTGTCACGAGGAGAGACCGGGATACCAAGGTGAGAGACTTCACAGCAGCACTGCGCTTAGAAATGCCGCAATCTCAAGGAAGTGAACGCTGGTGACAAGGTGACTGTGAGACAGGCAGGCGGGGACAATTGTCAAGAAGTCACAGGCGTGTAGCGAGCACGTTGTGCGATGCAGCGGTGTTCCCACGTGCCGAGTCATGGTCAAAATACCTGCAGGACAAGCGGGTGGAGTGAGGCGTTGAATGTGAGAATGAACTTCAGAAGTTGAAAACACGAGGCACACCTGCAGCATACACGGGGTCAGATGCAAGGGCAGACCTGAGAGCAATGCACATTGGACTGAATGATCACACACGTTTCCCCGAGACAAACACCCATCATCATTCGAGTCCTTCATCCATTAGCAGCGGTGTGAGACAGAGTTGCTTGTAGAGCCATTAAACATCTACATGGCCTTCCCAGAGCAATACGCATAGACAGCGACAAAATGAGCAAATTAACTGGCATTTGCCAAGCATCCAAATACTAAAAATACTAACAAACTCGGCCTAAATCTATCAACATTGCTTCCTTATTCCCACATAAAACTGGGCAGTACCCTCCTTAAAGTAGAGTCTTGAAACATTCATAATAAAGGTTTTTTGGGTTAGATCACGTAAATATTAATGTGTCGTTAACCCACAGACAATTAGTAAGGTTTGTCACGTAAACAAAACTTTGCCAATTACTTACTGCTTCAGCCCACAGGTACGTTGCAGAGTAAATCCAAAACATTTACAATTTGAGTACCATGACGTCCCACCGGTCATCACATCAACCAGCAGCATCAGACAATTTTGCCAGAATTGTGGAGATAAACTACCCGCTTCTGGTGTCTTAACCAGAGCAAGTTGACATCGTCACCGCCGTGAGCCAATACAAGTTTGAAACTCAGTGAGGCTGTTCTGGGTGAGCAGGCGTAACGATCGCTGAATAGCAGAAGGTAGTGACGACAAGGACGACGATGATGATGGGGCTCCTGCCAGAAGCCCCTCCAGGGGCCTCCCACTCACCGCCACGCGTCGCTGGCCCGGGCCTCAGCGGCCAGCAGCGTGCGCGCCACCGCGCCCTCCACTCGCCGCAGCGCCAGCGCCGCCACGTCGTGCCCCACCGCCTGCTGCAGGTGCCGCAGCAGTCGCTCGGTGCTCCACAGGCGCTCCTGCTCCGCCTGCTGCGCACGCATGCAAGTGCGGCCAAGCAGCCACACACGAAACCAAAAACTATTAAACTATTTAATTAGACCTCTTTTGCCAGTACCAAAATATAATAATAGCGTTTTTCCCCTTTTTTTTCTGGCAACAAAACTGAAACCTTTTTACAAGGATTCATGTCTGCATTAACCACAATACCTGCAGTCAAAATGCAAACAAAAAACAGACTATGATAATAAATGCATTGTCCTTGAAACTGATTGGTCCATACCAAGGGACGGCTTTCTTTTGAGCCTCGACCCAATTGGTGCTCGACCAGATGACGCCAAAAGGTGTACAGCTCAAAGACAATGCACTATCAAAGTAATTAGGGCCCGGGGTGAGCATCTACATCATTAGACCTCTTTTGCCAATATCAAAATATAATAATAGGGTTTTCCTCTTTTTTTTGGCAACAAAACTGAAACCTTTTTCCAAGGATTCATGCATGTGTAGTGGAGTAGGAACGTGCGTAGTGGAAACAGCGTGATTACATGATAACACAGACAGTACGGGTTATGTTTGGTCAGCCTGTAGCGAAGGCAAATACAGTACAGGTTATGTTAGGGTAATTAAGCTGGGAGAGCTAAGAACGGCTGTGATTAGTTGGTGCTGTTGCCAGGGCTGAAGGGGCGTCTTGAAGTCTGGTGAGGAACAGGTGTACGGTCACGCGGAGTGCCGTTGGGACGCGGGTTAATTCATTGGGGAGTAATGAGAGCGGGGATAAATTGGAGGGTCGGCAATTGGAGCGAGGTTGTTGAAGTTGGAGAGCTTGGAGTGAACAGGGGGGAATTGAAGTTGGAGTCAACAGCGGGGAATTGAAGTGTGGAGAGCTTGGAGACAGAGTTGGAGGGACAGAGTTTGAGAGACGGAGTTGGAGATGGAGCTTGGAAACAGCGTAGCGATAGCGGAGCTGAAGAAGAGAAGCAGCCAGCAGTGGAGAGAGCATAGCAATAGCGGAGCTGAAGAAGAGAATTAGCCAGCGGTGAGAGAGCGTAGCGATAGCGGAGCTGAATAGAGACGAAGCAGTTAGCGGTGGAGAGAGCATAGCGACGGTGATAGCGGAGAGCAGAGACGAAGTAGTTAGCGGTGGAGAGAGCATAGCGACGGTGATAGCGGAGAACAGAGATGAAGAAGTTAGCGGCTGAGTAAGCGAAGTAATCGTGGGGGAGTGGAGAGACAAAGGTGGCGAGTGAGTCGAGTGAAGCACGGCGAGCGAGCCGTGGCGACATGGATACTGTAAAATATTGAGGACATGCTGAGAGCTCTAAATAAAGCGGTGTTCGAAGGAAGACAAAAGTTGTCCGAGTGAAATCAAACACTACACCTGCATTAACCACAATACCTGCAGTCAAAATGCAAACAAAAAACATACTATGATAATATGTGCATTGTCCTTGAAACTGATTGGTCCACACCAAGGGACGGCTTTCTTTTGAGCCTCGACCCAATTGGTGCTCGACCAGATGACGCCATAAGGCAAGTTGACGCCGACTATTTATTGATAACTGAGTGAGTGATGTGTCATTGTCTCCAATGCAATTGAGTTATACTTTTGTTGTAGTGTAGGCCGGACAAAGTGAACTGGCGTTGGAACAGTACTGGTTTCAGTGAAGAGAGAAACTATAATCTATGTTTTAATTTACCAGGTAAAGTCCACTGAGCTCTATAGCTCTTTTTCAGACGCGATCTGGCTATCACAAATGACAGCTCAACGAAGCCGCTTATGTGGAAATTTATAGCAGCCACATAATATAAACGCATGATGTTGTGGAGGGGAAAACCGGAGGATCCAGAGAAAAATCCATGCGACCACGGGGAGAACGTGCAAACTTTAAATATACATCCGTCATGGTCGGGATCGAACCCACGATCTCCTGAGTACAAGGTGAGGTAGTTAACATCTCGCCACCGTGGCACCTCCCCATCTCCACGCACAACGCATGGCTCACAACAGTGCATCGCAATGCGCTGTCTGCGAAATGCACGTAGTACTCTATAATAATAATTATTATTTCACAACCATGACACTTGTGTACCCATGAACGCCTCTTTAAGTGTCAGGACTCTTTTTCATCAAGATCCAGCCAAGTTTTCACAGTAGGGTGCTAGGTTACCGCTGCGTGTAATCCCAATTGAGTAATTTACAGGTTCATTTTCTCTCTGAGCAATGGAATATTTGGCCAATATCAGTTACAACGCACGTTGTTTTTTAGCTATGCGTGGACAACGAGGAACCTGGAGGAAACTAATGCAGAAGAGGGGGAAAACATACATTTCCATGCCAGAAATTAGGCACAAGTCTTACAACTAGCAGCCTAAGCAGTTTAACCAAGTGGGCAACAATTGATGAGGATGAACGGGAACTCTATATGTGAGGACATTCAAGTGCGCGAGTGAGCGAGACGCGAGTGAGCGAGTGCACGGGTTAGTGAGACGCGGGTGAGTGAGTGTGCGAGTGAGCGAGACACGAGTAAGCGATTGCGCGAATGAGCGAGGCGCGAGGCCGGGCACGTGCCTGCTGTGAACGCGGCGCGTGGCGGAGGCGCACGACCCAGTCCCCGTGCAGGAACGCGTGCAGGGGCCGTGCGGAGCTGAGCAGCACAAACGCCTCCACCTCGACGCGCAGGCCTAGCACCAACAGGGGGCGCCAGTCACGTGCCCACACCACAACGCGTGCCCTGCAAAGGCAAAGGTGCGCCCATGTCGCCTTAACCATCGCGCTTCCTTGCTTTCTCAGCCGTTGTCGTCGAATAGGGCGCGTTACAGATCTTGCATTTGCTCGATTGGAAAGCAAGATGAGCCACAACAGGAGCCATTCTACTTTTACCGGTATAGGCACAGTTTGACTTCTATATTGGGGGGGAGGGGCAGGGGTTCACTTTGTCCCTTACATTAGGAATCGCGGGTGCATATAATTACTTTCAAATCTTAATTGTAAATTACTAAAAATAAATGTATAAAGGTGCCCAGTTTGGGAGGGGACGTTGCCCCCCCCACCCCGTGCGCCCCCACCCCGCAAACTCCACCCATTGTCTTAACAGACTGTTGGGGTAAGTGCGGTTCGCGAGCGGCACCTATGAAGGCCGGCACGGAACACGAGGGGATGGGTGGCCAGCACCACGCGTTTGCCTCCCCAATGCTGATGTTTTACACACAACATCAAGGTACTCATTATTGGCTAAGTTGACAGGGGGAGACCCAAGATTGCGCCACCGCTCCCTAAAACTCGTCATCACAAACTCACACACAATGGATTCCAGGATGTATCCTTATAATCGGGGAAATACAAGTTTTAACAAACACAGAGGTTAGCCCTGTGCCTGAAACACAATAATCCTAAACTCGTGCAGACGGGCAGAGATAAACCGCGTGAGACCCCTAACCTTGCACATGCGCAGTCACAACTCAGAAGCAGATACGAATACATCGGACACAACTTATGTTTTGACTAGCAAGCATTCCCCGTGCGTCTTTTTTTTTAACCTGCCCAGACCTGCTGCTTGGTTTCAGCTGATGTTTTGGGTCAGGGTGTCTAAGTGGGGTCTTCTATTCTTGCGCACAATGGCGGAAATATGTCCAGGAGCTCAATGCCAATGCGGAGGTCTGCTGGCCATGACGAGAGGGCTTTCGCAAAAAGTTCGTGTAGTTTTGCGATTCCTCCGCTGAAGGGGCGCATACGACAGAGGTCCATAGTTTGGATTGCATGGGCACGGTTGCACCGTTTTGGCTCAATTTTCTAAGTGGCTTGGGTGAGAGGGAGGAAGAAGAGCAACAATGAGAGATTCAGTGGTGAGTGATTTAGCCGTTCAATTGGTTGAAGTGCAGATACGCACCACCAGGTGTGTACCTGCACCAGGTGGGTGCATGCGCAAATGTACATTCCCGACAGTGCACGGCTATACATCAGGGACGTGCGGTCAGGGGAAGCAGGGGAAGCACAGCCTCATCTGTCATACTCCAATGAAAATAGCTGTTACGAAAAGTAAAACATAATAAACTAAAAATTTCGATTTTTCCACTAATCTGTGTTATAAATGTAATTTCTGTACAATTCCAATCATTTTTAGAGTCAAAATCGCCAAATTTGCGGAGCTCTGCTGCAAATACAGGAAAAGACAAGAGGTGAGGCAGCGACGAGCTCAGCCTCCCCTCTGATTGCGCAACCCCTCATAAACTGGATGGAGCGCGGGCAATAAGCGCGTGCCTGTTACAATCTCTGTGTGTTACCAATGTAATGTATCTAGACCCCTTAATTTCATGTCCTCGCCTTCCATACTCTAGGTAACTTATTTCACGTGTGTGTATAAAGATATTTAGGCTCGCTGGTCTCGTCATGAAATTGCAATAAAAAAGCACCAGGGGAGGCAGCTATCACATCTGCCTCACTCAGGGGGCGTCAGACACGCCCCCTCAGTGAGGCCACGCCCCCCTCAGTGTGTAAATCTGGCACTGATACCAGCCAGTGCCTCCCCAGCCATTGACCTCACCGCACGTCACTGCTATACATGTTGCACGTTTTGGAGCTCACCTTTCGTAGGCTACCCCGTGAAGTTGACAAACCCCGCCCCCCTCCCCACAATGAATGTCGCACAAAAAAACGGCGACCGAACGTTCTTAGCACCAGAAGAGCAACGTCGAGCACGCATTGCTGCCTCGCGCTGCAAACAAACCAACCATGGCCGCGGGTACCCAGCGGCACGCGCCGTCGTTCTTACTCGGCCCGGGACTCCGTCCTCTGCAGGGCCTCCGTGTCCAGCCAGAGAGGCGAGGCGCCCAGCTCCGTGGTGCTCACGGCCCAATCGCCACGGGGAGGCAGCGCGGCCGCCGCCCTCTGCCATGTCGCTCGTTGTAGGGGCAGCAGCCAGCACCGAGGGGAAAGCCAGGCTGAGGGCGCGGGCAGAGAGAGGGGGGGGCATCACTCTCAGTCTGCCGTCGTCACCACAATGCACGCCTTTCTGTGCGGTCCACCATCGGGGCCCGGCACATGTCCGTGCGACATGGATGGGCTTTGCGTGCGGGTTTAACACAAGGGGGCGGATGCCTCCCCGACGCGTTCAGCTGAAACGTTGCTCACTCGAACTTGCAAGAACGCGAGAAATCTGCGTTTTCTCGATTACTTTTCTCTGCAACTCGTTCAAGCGATCCCGAGTACGACCAACGATGCGATGCGTTTCCACCGCGGGTGTGCGTGAATTAATGTGGAGTGGGCGGCGAACGCTGGGGATGGGCCTGGCTGTGCGCTAATTCACCCGAGCCAAGAAGGGGGCTGCCCAATCAACGCCATTCCCGGTGCACACCATTTTGTGGGGATGGAACGTGGCCATGAAGGGGGGCGGGCTTGAGGAGTGCGGTCGGGCGGCGGGCTTGAACCGTCGGAGCGAGCCGAGCGATGGGTTTCTGCTTGGGCAGTCGCAAGCCCCGTAGTAGCCACACCGATTCCGTGGTCCGAGCCCTGTAGATGCCACACTGATTCCGTGGTCCAAGTCCCGTAAGTGCCACACCGATTCCGTGGTCCGAGTCCCGTAAGTGCCACACCGATTCCGTGGTCCGAGCCCCGTAGATGCCACACCGCTTCCGTGGTCCGAGTCTCGTAGACTTCACATCGATTCCGTAATCCGAGTCTCGTAGTCGCCACACCGATTCCATGGTCCGAGTCTCGTAGACGCCACACCGATTCTGCGGTCCGAGTCCCTCATGTACGACGTAACCAGGGTTGGGAAGAGGTTCCTCCTCGGCACCCGGGAAGGTGGGACTCGGCGCCGGACGGTCACGGCTGCATTTGCTATTAGCGAGGTTGGAGGCGGGGCATCTGTAAAAATGCCAGGTCGGCTTGACCACGGTTGAGTTGACTTCGGGGTATCGATGGGCTGGTTTGTGCGACTAATGGTATGGGAACCCGAGTGCCACCGAAGTTGATTATTGGCTTTCATCGTCGCGTGTTCTTCACGTTATCTCTGTTGCCAGTGCAGTTGCCATGTTTATCTTGGGAGTGTCGTTATTTTACGCGATCTAGCCCAAAATACCTCTATTATGGATAATATTGGTCGCGAAAACCTACGTGTTAAACAGAGTGTCGTTTTGTTTTTAATGTGCAGCATTTAAGAGATAATTCATGATGAAATTCGCCTCAATAAAACAAAGATAATTATTGTTATGATTATGATGTTGATCCTGTGCAGGATATGGCTGGAATTGAAGGAAGTCATAGAGCACAGTCGTGGCTTACATGTCACTTGCTGAGTCAACAAGTTCGCTTCAAGCGTGTGGAACATTACACACCAGCTGACGTGTAATTATTTGCACGTATGGTGTGTCGCCGTATCTGCATGCTAACGCCACGTCACCCACCGTGTCACCAACCTCACAAACAACCGCGCAAACAGTTTATCAATATCACTGATAAAACTAATTATGACCAAGTCTGCAATTCCATATAAAATAGGCACAACGGTCACATCACTCTTTTCGTGCCTGCTGGAAATAATAAAGACACGACACGGATTTTTTTTAACCAAAAACCCCTAAAGAGGACAAACCAGGTACCTCTGAGGGCGAATAGCGAATAGCTTTGTTAGAGCGCTGGCCCGCACCGCCGACACACTGGCAGTGAATGTGCCAGCCGACCACGGTTAAACAGGCTGTTGTGGACCGCAAGCCAATGATTTAATTACCGCCACAAAATGTTTCTCCGTTATAGTAGCGGACATCGGTAGATTGTGAGAGGGTGCGATGCAGTTGGAGTTGGTTTCAGATATATTTTGGGCTAGTTTTTTGTTGTTGCGATTTACACAAATAAAAACATGTGCAGTGGTGTGTGGAGGAAGGCAAGGCTCTCAGACAGCATGCTGCTGCGTTGGCTGTGCAGGGTCAGAGTGGGCACTTGCTGGCCAACACTGCCGATTTAAATCTCCCACTAGCTCCGGATCAGAAGGCTGTGTGTGCCCCAAGCAGACATCACCCTCTCGGGAGTAGGGTCCAGGCCTTTCTGAGCCCATGGCTCGAATTAGGATTTTGTTCCTGGTTCAGCATCTGCATTCTGGTGGCCATCTGATCCGAAGTGAATGCACAAACATTAAATAATTAGGAATTGTTGGCACTTGTTGATTGATAGTTATTATGTCAGTCCCACACGTGAGGGCAGAAACCTTGGTGTCCAGTTTGACATCTCAGAAATATTTCCAGAAGGCATCGCTTCCTCTTACCTGCTGACTTGGAGAGACTGGTCCATTCTTTTGTGTAATCCTGACTCGACTGCTTCAACGCCTTACTTGTTGGGATACCAAGCAAAGTACTGTGCAGACTCCAGCTTTTTCAGAATGCAGCTGCTCGAGTGCTTACACCCCGTACACCATTCCGTGAGCACATTACACCAGTCCCCTTATCTCTTCATTGGCTACCAGTCAAATTCCGAGTAGCCTATACGGCTCTAAAATGACTCAACCCACGTTACTTGTAGGAATTAATACATTTATATATTCCATCAAGGTCCTTAAGATCTTCTGATCTCCAACTGCTCAGCACTCCCAGGTCTAGGTTGAGCTCTTTTGGCGATCGGGCTTTTGTTAGCGTGGAACCTAGCTATGGAGCACCTTGCCACTTGAAATCAGGCAATCGGAGTCAGTAGATATACTCAAGCCTGGTTTGAAACCCCATCTCTTGAAAGTGGCCTTCCCTCTTTAGTTTGGTCGGTTGCCCGGGTTCTGTTTTTGTTTCCTGCTTTTAATGCATTGCACATTGGGATCCTATGATGGAATGCGCACAATGTTTTTATTTATTATTTATGTTTCTGTAAATTATTGCTGTTTGAAAAAACATCTAAATTTAAAATAAACCATTCTGAATTTCGATTTAAAGCTTTCATGACTGCAGGGATTCATATTCTTGGTTCTTTCGGTAAAGTCACATATAAGGGAAATAATAAAATAATACAATAAAACAATACAATTCTCACGACAGTTCGATTGCAACACAAGCAATCATCAACAGGTGTGAAAACCACAGCAAGAATTTTTGAAAAAAGAGGCGGTTTTTTTTCTTAACGTCTGAACAATCGCCAGTTGCTGTCCGTGGTGCTAACGTTAAGAAAAAAACGCCACTTTTTTCAAAATTTCTTGCTGTGGTTTCCACACCTGATGATGATTGCTTGTGTTGCAATCGAAACGTCGTGATAATTTAACTGTTTTATTTTTATTATTTTATTATTTCCCTTCTACGTGACTTTACCAAAAGAACCAATAATATAAACCATTCTGGTTAAATTCACCACTAAACATTAATATTTGAGGCATAATATAGCTACACATTTTCCCTGACGTTACGGAATGTGGTCTCTGCCAACGTTCTTGGAAGCAAAGAATGCACGAATTATGTGTATGTATGTCGAACTTATTTTGCAGTGTACGTAGCCAACCATGCTAATCGGGTGGAAGTGCTGTGACGTGATCGATAACATCACGTCCGCGTGAATTTTGGGTTTCACCGTTGGGGTGGCGGCCGTGTGGGCACGCCGCCGGCCCAGGACGCACGAGGCACGGCACGCAAGGCGTGGGGAGGGGGCGTGCACGCTGCGCCTCACCGGACAGATTGCCGACGTGCTGCATCAACCAGCAGAAGGCATCGGGCTTCAACAGCGAGTCGCTCAATCCCGGAGCCTCGTTCACCTTCAAAAATGGCGCACACAAGGACGACGGCGATTGTTCATTGCCAACCAACGCGTGGTTCGTAGTAGCGGGGCGTAATCATTATGGGCGATGATCAATCCACTGCTGGATGAAGGCCACCCCAAGACAAAAGCAATATCTCACGATCCTGCGATGCCAGAATCCAGGTCGTGCCTGCACTATACAACGAGCACCTTGGGTGAGTTCCGTTCCTTGGCATCGCGTTCCAACCAAGCCCACTTCGCTTTCTTTGAACAATTTTTGAATGATTTATTTAACCCTGCGCGTGTTCTCCAATCCACGTATCTCTCTTTCCGTCTCTAAAATGTAAATCCAAACGTGCATCCTCTCCGTGCCCGTTGTGCACACCAGCACACGTTTCAGTTTGTGTCTCCGTTAATAATTATCGGCATGGGCACACGTTACGCATTGATTAGAAATAATTCAGCTTGAGGCCCATCACCGTGTGGCTTCTCATTACAGAGTTCCACTTTCCAAAAGCATTCCACAAACAGCTCTCTTCCACCTCTCTGTTTTCACCATCTTGACTATGGTCCACTCCAAATAGCCTCCCAAAGGTGCACCCATTCCGCTGTGTTTTTCCTCTTGTGTACTTCCGACAAATGTCTAATTGTTGTACACTTGAACGATCAGATCAAGGCAGTTGAGCAATCAGCGGCCTCCAGTGTGAGTGTGATCAGGGGTAAGAAAGCCCAATTGGTTGCTGCCTTTGCTGCCCGTGCTGAGATAAAACGCCACGGAGACACGGTCCTCGCCCAGGGCCCTGGCTGCCCAGTACATTTACACATCGCTCACCCAACCCGCATTCAAGCTTTCCACAAACTCTATGATGTTCCGTGCACGGAGATGCAGAGGCATACATTTACACATCAGCACTAACGCGACGCTGGGGAACTGCACAAACCCACCGTTACCTGCGCCACCTAATATATAAAGAGGGGTCAAGGGTTTGGATCGAACCCACGAACCTCCTGTATACCAGGCGAGGTAGTTGTTAACATCTCCTAGCCATCGCCAGCACCTTGTGGCGTTGAGGGATGTGCGGCAGACATGGAGGAAGGCAGCCGCGCTCCGCACACAGGACGAGGGTCCATGCCGCCCCCGGGGAGCCTGGCACGGGGCCTGTGGGGAGGGGCGATGAGTGGCACAGAGCAGGGGCCCGTCAGGTGGCACGGGCTCACGCACCCATTCTGCTTTCTCGGCGCACATTACGGGTGCTCGCTCCGGGTCGAGTACGATGCCCCACGTCACTTGGTTTGGGTGTGCAGCAGCGATGTTGTCTTGTCCAAGTTCGCCTGTATGTGTACATGTTGGCGGTACGATGCAGCATAACACACCGGTCCTCATGAAACAGGTCTAAAAATCAACATTTCAGCTGACATTCGTCTTCTGACTGCTTCGACATCACGATAACTGATTTTGAGGCACCACCACCATCCTGCAAGAACTTTGACCGGAGTTGCGAATCGCAGCAAAATACATGATTTTTGCGAAATATTCGCGTTTTTTATACCGCGCACCACTGGTGTACTGCCAACACGTTCAGTTGTTGCCTCAGACGCTCCTTTATTCTCCAATCTAAGCATTTCCCCATTCTTATCTTATCCTCGCTCACCGCAGCACGCCGCCGATCTCGCGTAGCGCGCCGCAAGCGCAAAGCGTACGAGCCACTCATTGAGTCATGCTCACGCGGTCAACAACACAGTCAGGGGCACAGGGGGGCGAGGAAGTGGAGGCCGGTAGTCCGGACCCCACAGAACAGCCGGGGGGTAGTGGGACGAATGGTATGGGGGAGTCAGGGGGCAATTCGGTGATAGCGGGGGACGGTTGCCCCCACAGCTGCAGTCTGTCGCCAGAGAAGGGGAGGTTTGGACCGCCTTACTCAAAATGCTGCTGACGCGACCCTCACCAGGACAAGGGGACTGAGAAACGAACATACAGGCAAATTAACGACAACAAGAAGAAAATAAGCTGTGGTGCCACAGTAAGAATAATTACTGAAGGGTATTTTTGCAATTTCTACTTTTCTGGATTGAATAAAATCCTTCAGTCAGTTACGTTGTCGTTTTTATTTTCTCCGAAGTTTGCACGAGATTTTCATACTACAGTGATCCCTCGGTTCACGATGCCATCGTCTTGCGATATTTTGATTAACTATCCGCCGCCCATAGGGTCCCATTGCTTCTATTTACGATACGTTTTCGATAAATGATTTATTTACGATGTCACGCGGCCGCCAATTTCGGCCAATCAGAGCGCTCCCTAAGTGGACTCGGCAGACCTCAGCCAAACAGCGTCCCGCCCTTTTGTGAGCGTTTTGAGGGCAACTGGCTGCTCGCTTTTTAATGTTGTGATGTGTGTTGCTTATGGAAACAGTTTTCTTGAATACTCAATGTTCTTAGAACGTTTATTCATTAAAATTGCGTGTTTAAATATTACTAACGATTTATTTAGAGTCAAAAAGGACAACTTCCGAACACATTAAGCCCTTTAAAATGCATTCTCCATATTTGATTAACGGTAGTTTCAATTGACGATGTTTTTCGTGGAACCAATTAATATCATTCACCGAGGGACCACTGTATATTCCAAACAAGTGCTGCCGGCTGGAGAGAGGGACGGACGGCCACATCCTTTGGACGTGCTCGCTTGCGAGTTATAATGAAACGAATAGCCCCTGCAACCCAGCGGGAAGCCACTGCGGCGAGAATCCCCGGGTCCCCCCCACGGAGCGTCCGCGCCTCCGTGGAGCGTCGCTCTCGCCCGTCGCAACGCAGCCTCACGGTACAAACCCAATGTGCCGATGCAGGACCTGACGTCGGTTTTGCCATTGTAAAAGGATCATCGCAGTGGTGAGATGGAACTACCTCGTCTGATATACAGGAGGTTGTGGGTTTGAGCCTGACCCTGACGGCGCCTGTATATTTGGAGTTTGCATGTTTCTCCTCATGTTCTCATGGATTTTTCTCCGAGTCCTCCGGTTTTTTCCCTCCACATTTGGCTGCTATAAATTTTCACGTGATAAACCACTTCGTTGAGCTATCATTTGTGGTCAAGTCGCTTCTGAAAAAGAGCTGTATAGCCCAATGGGGCTTACCTGGTAAAATAAAATATAGTTTAAATACATCTTAACTTAAAGCTTTTGTGACTGCAGGAATTCATATTTTTTTGGTCTATCGGTAAAGCCATGTAGATAGAAAAAATAAAAAAATAACAGCAATATCACGACGTTTCGATCACAACACAAGCAATCGTCATCAGGTGAAAAAATGTAGCGGGAGAGCTGCTCTTTCACCTGATGACGATTGCTTGTGTTGCGATCGAAACGTCGTGATATTATTATTTCTAATTTTTTTTTATATCTACGCGGCTTTACCGAAAGACCCAAAGAATATACTTTGAATAGTTTATATTGCAGGGAGGGCTGTGTTTAACTCACTGTGTCATGCTTCTTTATTCAATTACCGTTTGATGTTCAACAAATGTTTTAACTATCTCCACATTAAAAATCTACACATGTTTCATTATGTTTTGTGTCGTCACTTTTACACTTCCGCCGAGTGACATAGAGGATTACCGATGCAGTACTATACAGCAGTTGCTATTTTACCCCTACATTACTGTACATTGCTGTATATTTTTGAGGCCCAATATCGAAAATTGCAGTTCAATTGGAACCGTTGGCCCCCTCCTGTGAAACTTGGCAGGAGCCTTCTGGAAAGTCATGAGACTGGGGCTTTCGTGGGTAAACAAGCGGAATAATACAAAAAGTAAAGCTCTACTGGACTTAACTCGTGGCAAATGTTCACCGTCCAATTAACTTCAGCCGCAGCGTGGGAATATTTGAGCGACAGGAAACGTTCGAACGTCATCGAGAAGACTGCAAAGTTAGGCTCGGGATAAATACAACAAAAATCACGTCTGACTCGTTCGCTAGACCATCAGGGATATCTGGAAAATATCGTAAGCTGTGGTGTATGGAGAGCAGCGATTGAATAAACGCGATTATATAAAGAGGCACACTGGAACGGGTCGGAGCGCCGAGTGTTCCTTGAGGTGTTGCTACCTGCTATAGGGGGGGAGCGGTGGTGTAGCGGTTAGCGCTACGAACCCGGCCGCCCGAGTTCGAGTCCCGCTTACGGCCAACACCGGTGACGATTATCTGAACCAGTACTGGGTCTCTCCAAGGTCGACTCGGCCTCAAATGAGTACCTAGTGCGGTGTGTAAACACCGTCACTGGGCGTGGTGCTGGTCACCCCACCCCCTCGTGTGCCCCTACCAGCCTTCATAGATGCTCGCTAAAAGTATGTTAAGACTATACAGGGGATCTTTATCATTGTCTTTGTCTATGTCTGCTTGTCAGTGTCTCTATCTGTCCATCTGTCTGTGTGTGTGTGTGTCGGCGTGTCTGTCTGTCTGGAACACGGGGTCACGATAACTCTCATAAGTCCCCCTTTGATCAAAAGGTCAATGTGATGATGATGTCTCTACCCTGATGATGCCAAAATCAGTCTAAGGCATATAATAGGGAGTGTCTTTGTCTGTGCGACTTGCTTATGACATGTGGTTCACAAACGGTCTTGAACTCAATGTGTTGACAGCACAACATCCGAGAAGCACAGAGCGTGGAGAAACGTAGGCTTCGGATCGCATTGAGAGACGGTGGGATATGGTAAAGGCTCGACATCTGCGAGGGTTGGGTTCTTGAACGTCTGTGAATTTAGAATTTGCGACTGTTGATACAGTACTGTACTGTTGTACTATGTTTATATTTGGGGGGAGGAGGCGGGGTAGGTTCCCGTGTTCGACTGAACACATACGGGAGAAAATGATGTTTCATCACATTAGCCCGCATACGCATATAACCCGCAGACGCATATACCCCGCAAAAATAGCGTTTTGTGTAAAAATGATTTCAGATAGCCCGCACCTCCATATACCCCGCATGCATTCATACCTTTAACGTCGTTACCGCAGCTTAAGTCCATCATATTAATACGAAGTTTACATTTGTAATACATTCCACTATAAATTGTTAACATTAAAATCATAACGTGAACAAAGAAAACAAACTAACCGGAAATGAGTAAACTTAAAACAGTAAATAAGTAACAAAAGGAAATATCCAATAAATAAGTAACATATAACTGGTAGATAAGTAAGTACAGTTTTAGCACTGGTAGATTGCGAACTGCGCAGATAATAGTGGCACTACGGTAAGGCCGTTGCCTCGTCCCCAACCCCCCACCTCTCTCTCCCCCCAGCTCTCCCGTCGCTGGTAAACAAAGTGCGCCCACTTCAAACATTGTCGTTTAATTGTACAAACAATTAAATAATTAAAAACGTGATAACATGTGCAGTTTTAGTGTGAGTGGTTTATTCAACAGTGCTTTAGTCAAAGGTGTGTTGCATAGTGGATAGTTCTACCATGAAAAAAATAAACGAGTTATGACATTTCACACGTGTTAAATATTTTTTGGGATAGCCCGCACCTCCATATACCCCGCAGAGTCTTGTTTTGTTTGTAAAAAGTGGTATACCCCGCGGGTTATATGCGGGAAAATACGGTAATCCTGTACTGTATACATAAATACCATCCATGTACTTAGTTAAATTGTACAAGGATACAAATAAATAACACGAATAATACAAAACACGTGAATAAATTATCCTGTAAATGTGGAAGTTGGATTTTGCATGGCTGATCGTGGTGTGATGATAGTTCTGCTATAACGCCACGGGTTACTACTTCAGTGTGTCGGAGTAAATCCACAACATTTACAACTAATTGACATGTTTTGTTTACGTGACAAACCTTACTAACTGGCTGTGTCGGGTGGTGGCGGGGTTAACGACACATTTATACTTAAGCGATCTCAACCCAAAGAGAGAGAAAAGCTTTCATTACGAATATGATACATCTCCATATATATAGAAGGCAAACTTGTGAGTATGTGTGTCTGTTCAAAATGTTTAGTGTACTTCGCGACATGCAACAAATTAGAAATTTTCCATGTGGGTACTTTCCAGACTGTACACCATGCAAAAATTATAAAAAAAGACTTATTTTTTTTCGGGGGGAGCTCAATATGCATATATTTTTTGCACGGCAAGTGAGCTG